ACACATGCCTCCATCAGCCTGAGCAGCCGCTGCCACCTTGGCCAGAAGTCACCTGACCCGTAGGTGCATGATTCGGGGGGAAATGCCTCAGTGACCATCCTGTGACGTGGGCCACACCTCCCGTTGGACCGGCCTTGCCAAGCGGCCTGCGCTGATGCCAGATAAAGTCCAACACCTCTCAGCCTGGACGCTGCAGCGGGCCCGAATCCAGACCCTGCGGTTTCCATCCTCTCTCCTCTTCCAACACATGAATCCTGTGCCTCTGCCTCTGACTAGACATCACCCACATTTGCTCAGACCGTACCCCTGCTTGGCGGGCCCAGCCCCAGCTCTGCCTCCTCTCTGAAGCTTTCTGTGTCCACCTGGGCGCTTCTCTGAACTCAGACAGCACCTACTATGCGCCTGATCTGAGTGCTAAATTCCCTAATCTTCACGGCAGTCTGCTAGGCAGGCATTGTTATCCCTATTAGCTCCCAAGGGGAGAATGAGCAAAGTTCACTCAGCTGTGAGTGCTGGAGCTAGAATTCAAATCCTGGTTCACCTGTCTCCAAAATCCAAACTCGTTTCCAAAAACCCCTTTCAGGCTGAAACTGGTTTGGCTCAGTGGATAGAGCGTCGGCCTGCAGACTGAAAAGTCCCAGGTTCGATTCCAGTCAAGGGCATGTACCTGGCTTGAAGGTGGGTAAAATGATCCCAGCTCCTCTCTAAACTAACTCTAGGGTCTCAGTCCTCTCTAGGCTCAGCTTCCGCATCTGTCCAATGGGCACACAGTGCAATCATCCACAGAAAGCACTTAGCACAGGGCCTGCCCACAGTGGCCTGCCATACCCAGACACTGTTAATTTTTAAACCTAAGGCTTCCCGTAAAGGTAGCTAACCAAGCAGGTTAACAAAGTCTCTTGTCAGACAAGGAATCCTGTGTTTTTGGGGGGAGGTGGGACCTAAAAACTCAGAGGCCCTGTAAGACAAGGGTTTTGTGAAAAGCGGTCCCGAGGGAGTGTGACAGCCTTCCTGGGGAGTCTGACAAGCACACTGACTCATTTACAGGTCCTCCCGGGTTTGGAACTAGCAGAGGAGAAATGACTCCTGGAGCCCAGAATGCAGGTTCTTGGGCCTACAGAGGGGTTGGTGGTGGGAACCCTGAGTGAGACACACAGTAGGTACCCCACTCTTTATTCCTGAAATACACACGAGGGGAATATATTATATATATTTAGTATCTGGAACATTAGAGAGAGTCATATCAGTCTTACGGACGGAGAAACTGAGGCTTAAAGCAGGGAAATGACGTATGCAGAGTCACAGCCCCAGAAAAGCTCAGAAGGACCCCAATGGTCGATTCAAAGCTCAAACACTGTCCTGGGATGAGGAGGTCAGACGGGCGTTCGGGGACTTTCCCAGGGAGCTGGCAGTGCCCACATCTTGCTAGGGCAGCTGGAGTGACTGCGGCCTGCGGGCTATGGCAGGGAGGAGCAGGCCCAGCCAGGTGTCCGGGCACATTGGCAACCTGAGAACCCAGGCGGCAGCCAGCAGCCTCGCGTGGACACTTACTTCCATGGCAGAGTCAGCAAGTTCACTGCCGCTCGGGGGGCCGCTGGGGGGGGTCTTCAGTGGGAAGGACTTTCTCATTGCTCTGGACTTTCCCGTGCTGCTTTGTCACCCCCATCTGAATACAAAACCAGAGTCCTCCTCCTTGAGTTATGGGAGGGAAGGGTGGCATGGAGGGTGGGAAGCCACCGATGCCGCCACGTGAGGTAATTCTCCGGGAGGAAAGAGCGAATCGCACGGAATATTTCTAAGCTGCAGCATCTACCATGCCCGTTACCTGCAGGCATGAGAGTCTCTGCTTGAGCCTTTAGTCCAGGGGTGGGGAACGTCCGGCCCCCGGGCCAAATAAAGCAAGGAAGGGAAGCGGGGGGAGGAACATCAATGTGAGAGGGCCACATCGACTGATTGCTTCGGGCACACACCCCAACCAGGAGCCTGCGAGGGGACCTGCAATCCAGGCACATACCCTTGATTTTTTTTAAATATAAATTTTATTGATTTTTTTACAGAGAGGAAGGGAGAGGGATCAAGTTAGAAACATCAATCAGCTGCCTCCTGCACATCCCCTGAGCCAAAACAGCCAAGGCCCATACCCTTGACCTTGATGGGAATCAAACCCTTGACCATTCAGTGTGCAGGCCAGCACTCTAACCACTGAGCACACCAGCCAGGGCTGTTGTCATTTTTTATTTCAAAATCTAAGGTAAGAGGTCAGTACCCCTGACTAAATAGTCAGGTATCGCGTGTTTTTAAAATTCTTGCACCACACCGGTTGAAAATCACTGCTCCAGCCCTGACCAGTTTGGCTCAGTGGATAGCGCATTGGTCTGCGGACTCAAGAGTCCCAGGTTTGATTCTGATCAAGCGCAGGTACCTTGGTTATGAGCACATCCCCAGCAGGGGGCGTGCAGGAGGCAGCTGATTGATGTTTCTGATTGATGTTTCTAACTCTCCTTCTCCCTTCCTCTCAGTAAAAAAAAAAATCAATAAAATATATTAAAAAGAAAAAGAAAATCACTGCTCCAGCCTTATCATTTCTCCTTCCAGCCATTTATGCATCTTTCTGATAGATCCTCCCTTCCTCCAGTTGAGGGACAGACGTAAACCCCACCTGCGGCCAGACATTCCTGAGCTCTGAACCACCAATCAGCGCCTGCCAAATACCCTAACCCCCACCTCCATTCTTAAGTCCCTAGGTCCCTAATTACCAATCAGCGTGTGCTGAGTGCCCTACGCCCCATCCCCTATCCTTAAAGGTGCCTGTACCCTGGCCCTCGCTCTTCTGATCCTCTCTGTGGAAGCAGCAGGCCGGGGCGCTCCTCCCTCCGGTAAAGCCTGTGTGTGTCCTGCCATCCCGATCTCCGGCCCTCTTTATTTCATCCGTCACGTTCAGTCATCGGAGAAGCCCTCTTGGACTCACTCCACCCAGGGCTGAGCCAGGCGCTCCCTCCTGCGTGCTCCCGAGGCCCGAGCCCCCGAAGCACCCATCACGGATGCTGGGTTTCTGTCCCTACACTAGTGAGGCCTTTGGGGACAACTCCCTCTGCTCTTCCTTCTCTGTGAAATGGGGCCAATCTGCCGAAACCGGTTTGGCTCAGTGGCAGAGCGTTGGTCTGCGGACTGAAAGGTCCCAGGTTCGATTCCGGTCAGGGGCATGTACGTTGGTTGCAGGCACATCCCCAGTAGGGGGTGTGTAAGAGGCAGCTGGTCGATGTTTCTCTCTCATCGACATTTCTAGCTCTCCATCTCTTTCCCTTCCTCTCTGTAAAAAAATCAATAAAATATATTTAAAAAAAGAAAAGAAGAAAAAGAAATGGGGCCAACCTGCATGCAAAGCACTGAGCAGGACAGGTGGCCGTGGTTCTCATTTTTACAGGTGGGGAAGTGGGGGTCAGGGCCACTGCGTCAAGGCTGGAACGGGGCAAGCCTTGGACTCCAGTCCGGAATCTGGCCTCCAATGCTTGCCTCTCTTCGTCCTGTTTGTTCCACTTGTTCAGTCAGTAAGTGGCCAATAAACTGCTAGTGGACACCTGTTGTGTGCTGGGCCCCAGGCCAGCGTGTGTAGTAAGGTTGATAACAAAAAAGCTTCTAGGGAGTGGATAGCCCAGGAATGCGGGCATGGTTAAGTCTGATCGAATAATTGAATGGACACCTCTCCCCTGGGAACTGGCTTTTCAGGTCATTCACTACCTTTGCTGAGACCACATTCCATTGTCTCGCCTTGGGGTATGCATAAAGAAGTCTCCGCCCAGAAATAGCCCACCCAAGTCTTTAAAAGGCGCTGACTCCCCTCACTGGGAGCTGGAGCCATCCAGGCTCAGCCAGCTGGTGTGCGGAGATGGAATAAATTCCCAACCCCTCTCCATTCTGGCCTCCTGCGTTCCTCCTTCGGCCACCTAACAGGTATTAGTGTGAAATCCTCCAGGGCTCACATTCCGGCTCCTCGGCTCGCTGGGTCTGAGCTGTGGCTAAGATCCAGCCTCTCCCAGCCTGTTTCCGCCCCTAATAACCGGGGACGGTAAGTCCTCCCAGCAGGAGGGCTGAAACCAGAGGAGAGCTGTCACCATCCTCTTGTTTCAACAACCAACCTGTGCACATGCTGATAACTTCTTCCCCCGTGCCAGGGTGGGTCCCCGGTCCCCGATCTGCCCGGGGCCTCCGCAGCTCGCTTCCTGTGCATCTTAGCAGAGCAGTGATGCACACACTCGCAGACCCCCCCCCCACCACAACCACCACACACACACACACACACACACACATACACACGCTCCTGAAACGACAGCGCCCGTCCACGCTGTTCTACCTTTTTGCTCCTTTCTTTCCATCTAAGGTGACTCGGAAGTCGTCCGGTATTCGTGCGGACTGAACGTGTTCCATTTTAGCAGCTGCACAGGACGCCACCGTATGATTATTGTTTAATGTGGCCAAACGTTACTCGTATCAGGCCGGGAACTGCGAGGACTCGAGATCCAGAGCTGCCGAGCTGGAGTCCGGACCTTCCCCCACCCGCATGAGGGGGTGTGGGTGCAGGCAGGACCGGAGAGCGGGTCAGCGAGAAGCGCGCGTAATTCATTCTCGCTGGCGGCGCCCGGCTGGGGGAGCCTTGGGGCAGCCGATCTGCAATAACGGCAGCACCCAATGCCGCGAGCGCTTTGGCACAATCCAGCTCCGCACCGGCTACCAGACCCTCCGGCCTCGGCGCTTAACGTCGGGGCAGCAATGCTCAGCAAGACCAGCTACTCACCTCTGCGTCCGCCGCTGCGCCCGGTCACAAGGACTCCGCGAAGGTTAGGCCCGTCCCTGTCCCTTTAAAGGGGCCGAGTCGGGGCTCCGCTACTTCCGCCCCCAAACAACATGGCGTCGGCGGGGAGAGGGGGGGGGCGGTGAGGGCGCCGACACGGCACCCCTTAAAAAGATGGCGACGCCCAGGCCGCCGCGTTCGCGCCTCGGGTGACGTCACTTCCGGGGCGGAGGAGACTGAGTGGTGCAGTGAGGGACAAACAAAAGGAGGCGCCGGAGGGGCCCGGAGACCGGTGGCCGGACGGAGCGGCGGGGGCCCGGGGGCTGCCTGCTGGGCGGCCGGGCGCGGCGGGCCCAGGTGAGTGGGTGGCGTGGGGGCAGGGGCGCGAGCTGTCACCTCTAAAAACCCACTCCTACCCGCCCGCCCGCCGCTAGCTGCCGGGCTCCGGGCATCGGGGCAGCTCCAGCCCTGCCGCCGGCTCCCGGGGGCCTCCCCCGGCCGGTCTCTCTGCCTGCGCCCCGCGCCCGGCGTCCCCACCCCTGGGGTGTCTGCGGCCGCACCCTCTCCCCGGTGCCGCGGCGCGCGAGCCCCCTCCCGGGCACCCCGTGCCTCCCTGCGCTCCACATCCTGGGAGTTTCCGCCGCGGCTCCTCCAGGTCCCCTGTCACCCCTGGGTCCCCCCAGTTCCTCGCCCCTCCACACGCACACTCGCCGCTTCGTAGAGGTTCCACCTCTGGCCTCTCTCCCCTGGCCAGCTCTTTCTCCTGTCCAAAGGTCCCCCTGCTCTCTTCCCCCGGGCTCCCGACCCTTCCTTTCCCCCTTGCGCCCCTCCTCCTCTGGATCCGGCGGGAACAGTGCCCCGACCTGGGGACAGGGTCCCGGCTAGGCTCTGGGGCCTGTCCGGGCTGGGCTTCCTGGAGGACGGGTCCTGGTTCTGAGGCCCCGGAGTCTGCCCGTGTCCTGTGCATCCAGATGGGCCTCCGGGGCAGACCGGATTGGGGCTGGCCGGTCCGCTATGGGGGAGCTGGAGATGCCGCAGAGCTGGCTCCCAGGCTGGAGGCACATCGCCCAGGGTCCTTGTGGCTCAGGATGATGCTGCTCCTTTGGTCGGCGGCTTCTTCCCCTGGATCTGGACTGGGATGAACCAAGATTGGGCTGGTCCCAGCTGATGCAACTGCTGCCTTTTTTGGAAAGGAAGAGGATGGCTGGGGGTGTCTGGCAGCCTCCCCCTGGTAGGGACTTGACTGAAAGGGTGGGGCCGCCCCTTGGTGACCACAGTACCCTGCCCTACCTCCTCCCTGCCCTACCCAGGGAGCCTTTGGAGGAGGAGGAGGAGGAGGAGGGAGGGAGCTTGGGGAGGGGAGGGAATTCGGGCCTCAGTTGTGGAGGAAGGGTTTGGAGGAGCTGAAAGCCTCCCAAGGGCCTCTCACCTTTCCAATCAGGACCCCCTCGAACCCCTGCCACCCTGGCTCCCGCCCTCTGAGCAGGCGGGCTGGCAGACCGGAGGCAGACGGGAGGTCTGCTGTTCGCCGCACTTCCTGTGTAGGAGAGGGAGGAGTGGGAGTTTGATCGGAGGGACGGGGCAGTGCCCATCGCTCACTCACATTGGCGTTGCCTTTGTGAAGGTCAGGTCTCCCTCTGGCTCGCCAGGAAGGCGAGGGCGGACGACTTGTGCTGGAGGCTGGCTCTTGGGAAGATGCTGGGCGTGAGTGACATGAGGTCTGCCTCCCTGTGTTCCCAGCTTTAGAGGTTCCTTGGGGTTGGGTCTCGTGCCCCGCTGCCTTTGGGGGCTGTGGGCACAGAGCAGGGGCTGAAGACATCTTGGGGACACCCCTGGCAGGCACCCAGACCGCTTTTGTGTTCCATCCCTTGGGCACGCCCACGAGGAAGCGGTGTCCTCTGCAGACTTGGAGTGGCCTTGCTGGACAGCGGGGCTCCTGAGGGTTAGCTCCGATGGGTCAGAACTCGGGATGGAGCTGGGCTTGGGGTTGCCGCCTGGACCTCACCGGCTGGTAGGCGTTGGAGAGAAGGAATCAGTCTGATTCCTGACTCCTTCTGAGAGCGGAGGGGACACTGAGTGGGGACACTGAGGCATAGGGAATGGCCTGAGGCCCCCTGGGGAGTCAGGGGGGATGGGTGTGGCACCCAAGAGCCCAGCACACCTTCTCCATCCCTGACTCACGCGTCCCCTCGCGCAGCCATCCTTCAGGAAGTGCCTGGCCTGGCCCAGGAGCGGTGCGCGGAGGACACAGTTGCTGGCCTGGTCTGAGTTGCAGCCTCGGAAGAGAGGCAGACAGGAAAACACCGCTGCAGCTTAATAATAGAAACGTGACAGTGCAGCCCAGAGGAAGGAGGCATTAGCTCCGGGCCAATAGGTAGGGGGTGGTCCCTGTGTTTCCCAAAAGAGGAAGGAGTGGAAGAATCAGTCACAGGGAGTGCAGAGGCTGGGCTTCTAGTCCTGATATGCCACTGACAGGTACCTGGACCGAGTAGCGTGTCTCCCAGCGTGTGTCTCCCAGCCTCCCGAGGAGGGTAGGGCCAGGGTGGAGGCTGCTTAGATGGCCTCTGGCTTCTGCCTAGGGCAGTGGTGGGCAAACTCATTAGCCAACTATCAACAGTTCAATGAGTGAAATTTCTTTGGAGAGCCACATTTTTTAAACTTAAACTTCTTCTAACACCACTTCTTCAAAATAGACTCTCCCAGGCCGTGGTGTTTTGTGGAGGAGCCACACTCAAGGGGCCAAAGAGCCGCATGCGGCTCGTGAGCCACGGTTTGCCGACCACTGGCCTAGAGCTTTCCTGCCTCGTTGCCATCACCAGACGTGGGTTCACTGACTTGTCTCCCCGTGGGGCTGGAGGGACCATCCTCTGCTCCTTTCCTCCCGGCACAGTGCCTAGGCAGTGGGCGGTAAACGCTCCAGGGCGTAAATGGTCCAAAGGCTCATAATCCCTCCTAGCACCCTTCTGTCTGCACCCCCCTCCTTCTTTGTCTGCACTCCCCCCCTCTCCCCCCCTTCCTGCTGGCTCCTGCTTCTCCTCTGGCTTTCCCCATGGCCAGGCCGCTCTCCCAGCTCCCGGCCGATGCTCCCTACCCCGGTGGTTGTCTGAGTCCACTCTGTCCCCACCCTGCTAACTTGTCTTGTTCGTTCTTGTGAACATTTCAGAGCAGAAAGCTGATATGTAGTAGATGCTCACTAAATGCTTCTTGACTAATAGATAATAGCCGAGCCTTGTGTTTTGAGTTGAAATCATGTGTCTGTGCTGAGGATTTGTCTTTACCTGGGTCTGGCTGACCCCAAAATAGCTCATCTCTCTCCACATCCCACCCCCAGCCCTGGGTCTAGCCAGGGTGACCCGCTCAGCATTCTCCAGATGCCATGTTCTTTCCCCCCTGGGCAAACAGGTGCTGTTCCTTCCGCCTGGAATGCCCTTTCTCCAACTCCTCCTCTTCCTCAGCAGTCAACTCAGACAGCACCTTTTCCCGGGAGCCTTCCCTGCCCCCATCCGAGTGGGCCTCGGGTCCCCCCCCCGTCCTCCCACGGCTTCCTGCGTAGGAGACGGAGGAGTGGAGGTTTGCTCAGAGGCTCTGGGTTCCCGGCAGCAGGGCCCTGGGCTCTCGAGAGCCACTTGTAACTGTCGACTTGGCACCTCCCCAGTAGACTGTCTGATTCCCTCTTGTCACCCCAGAGCCCAGCTGAGGGCCTGGCACCAAGCAGGCGCTCTCGGAAAATGTTGGCAGCCCAGCAGGTGGCCCTGATAGTCACACACCTCCCTGCTGACAGTAGCTCTTGCTTCCTCGCAGGGAGGCAGCTTCCATGGAGCGAAAGAAATGCCAGGAGCCTGCCCAGACAGAAGCGGGCCAGCGTCGGCACCGGCAGCCAGCGCGCAGATAGCAGAGCCGTCCCCGGGGTAAGGACCGGGCCCTCCCGGCCAGCAGGCCTCCGCTCAGGCGCCGGCCCAGCCCGGCGAGCAAAGGGCGGTATCTGCTCCGCCTCTGCAGTCCTCTGCTCTGCTCCCTGCACATCCCGGGTGCTTCGGGCAGAGCTGACGGAGGACAGGATTCTTCCTGCTCCTCCCAGCTCAGCGGCCTGCTGAGCGGTGTGTGGCTGCCGTGCTCATCAAACGCCAATGCTGAGTTTCGTTGCCAACCTCTCTGGTTTTTCTCCTTCAGCCCAGATCTTGTCAGCTCGGCTTGTTGTGGGCACTGTCTCGTGAGCACGTTTCCCGAGGTGTGTTCCGTGGCACGCCAGTTTCTTGGGTCGCAGTGGGAAACAGCGACTTGTCCGGCTGCAGGACTTCTCAGAGCCTTGAGTGCGTTGAAGTGAGCACGAGGAGTCTCTGAGAGGGAGCGAGCGAGGCGTGTTCCCCACACTTACTTAGATCGTGTGGGCGGACCTCTTTGGGGCCTGGGGTTCCTTGGCCTGCGCTTTGGAAAACAGTTCCTAAAGGTGGGAGAATGCACTGGTCAGGACCAGCGTCTTGCAGTCAGACCTGGGTTTGCGCTCCAGCTGTCCCCATGCATGATGTGGAGCTGTGAGCCTGTGTCCTCGTGGATAAAAAGGGGATAATGTCAGCCCCCCGCCTCCCTTTGGGAGAGTTTGAAGGTTAAAGACGCTGACACAGGGAAAGGCCCTTAGCTGAGTGTGTGCCAGAGCTTCTCCCTCATCGCAGCGGGGTGTGCATGGACTGCTCTGTGACTTGGAAAACACACCTTCACCAGTGATCTCCTTGGATCATCTCGGGGAGCTCAGACAGTGGCTTTCATCCCCTCTTCACAGACATGGAAGCTGAGGCTGAGAGGGAAGAAGCAGTTTACCCAGACTCACCGGGAAAGAAGGTAGGGACATGGGACGTGAACCTGACCCTGGGATCCTGGGCCGGGGGCCTTCGCTCCGTGCCCCAGGCCTCCCGGATCCACCTCCCACCTCGGCTTCCTGTGAAGGAAAGCCTGGCCCTCCCTTGCCCGGATTTTAAAAGAAATAATCTTGTTGTTATTATTTCGTAATTACCAACATACCGTGTTTCCCCGAAAATAAGACATCCTCTGAAAATAAGACCTAGCGCAACTTTGGGAGAAAACATTAATATGAGACACTGTCTTATTTTCGGGGAAACAGGGTAGTTGCATGTTCGTTGTGTTTTTATCATGTTTTGGTTTTAATGTCACATGGAAAGTGAACGTCTCCGAGGGCCCCCTCTCCAGAAGTATGAATGGGGAGGGTCTGTTCCTCCACGACGTTAGGAGTGTCGAACTCAATCAGAGAAGGGGCCAAAATCTAAAATCCAGCCTAAATCGAGGGCCGAATGGTTTACTGAACAGTCATAAACTGTCATTGTGATGGAAACGCAGCGGAGTGCAGTGATGACAGCGCGGTGCAGGCCACATTGCAAGGCCTGGCGGGACGGATTTGGCCCGCGGGCCTTGTGTTTGACACATGTGCTCCACGTGTATCATTACTATTTGCTTATTGATCCCAGAGCACGTCCTGTTACAGCCGCTGCTCCCTGCTGCTCTGGCTTCATTAATGGTTACCCCTGGGCCTCGCTCCCAGGCAAGGGGAGGCCTGAGAGTGTGTGTCCTGTCTGAAGGTCCCGACACTGGTTCTCGAACCCATGGCCCTTGCTCCCTTGCCCCTCCACGCGGGGCTTCTGAGGTGCGTTGGGGCATTGCAGCCGCAGAGGTGGGTGGGAAGTGCCTGGTGTGTGATTTTGTTGCCTCCCCTGTTTACTGGGACAAGGTCAGCAGCTCTGGGCCCTGCCCTGTAGGAGTTTCCTGTTGGTTTGGAGGAACTCCGTCCTGCAGAGAGGGAGGCCGGAGCTGAGGGCTCTGGCCAGCGATGAGCAGTGAGCAGCAGGCCCTACTTATCTGAGACCAGAATGCCTCGTCCGTGCCAGGGCCGGCGCGAGAGGTCTGGCCTTTAGGTTCTGGCCTCCCTGGCTGCCTAAGGCAGGTGGGGGGGCATTGGGAGGTTGAGGGGATATGCATGAGTTGCTGTGTTTGCCTGAGTCTGGCCCTGACTCAGTTTACCCTGGCAGCTCCTGGCAGAAACCCTGGTCTTGGAGCCGTGGCAATGCTGCTTTCAGGTTTGAGCCTTGAGGGTGGACAGTGAGAAGATGGAGGGGCCGCGGTGTTGGGGCTCAGAGACCTCAGGCTGGGTTTGGGCAGGAGGGACTCCGGGCCTGGCGCCTGGTTTTGTGGAACCCGGGAGTGACGTGGCAGGACCAAGCTGGGGGTGAGATCTGTGCCTGAGGAGTCTCCCTCACGTGGCAGGGGTCTCGGGCGCGTGGCCTGGAGTGGGCCTCCGCCTCCACCTCCACCTCCCTCCTCCCAGCAGCAGGGCCTTCGGGCCCCGTGTCTGGCCGTCCTCCGTGGCCGCAATCTGAGCCCTGGGCGCCGTGCTGGGTCATGACATACATTTGCACCTTCCCTGCCGCAGCCAGCGTGGAGGTGGTGTCATCGTTTTACAGGCCAGGGACCAGGGCTGGCGGGGACAAGGACTCTCGCCCAAAGTTGCCTTAACGACAAAGTCAGGACCGAACCCGGATCTGGTTGCCCTGGCAGCGTGCGCTTTCACCCCACCCTCCGCGTTTCTTTTCTCCGGGTCTCAGGCTGGGGCAGGGGTACTTCGAGTCTCCTGGGCGCTTGTTGAAAATGCTGGTTCCCCTGAGCCCACCGCCCAGGGAGCTGCAGGCAGAGCCTGGGAGCCGGACCGGGAGTCTGTGCTTGGGAGAGGCTGGCGCGAGGCCGGTGGTCACTGACCTGGGCCACTCTCAGCCCTGGCCCCCCCTCTGCTGACAGACCTCTGCCCCAGAGCCGGCGGAGCTCCCCTTAGACCGGGTGTTAGTGGCCTCCCGGATGTGTGTGTCAGGTGGCCATCAACCTTCCCTCCTCCAGGATGCCTGGGGCCGACGTTCCTAGAATAACGTTCACTGCAGCCGCAGACATCCCTGCTGACTCTCCTGATGCGTTCCTACTGCACCTCGTAGCAAGTTCTACATTCACACATCTCCTGAGGCTGAACACCGCACATTAAGTAGACAGCGACCACAGGGCCTCTGCTGAATGGCGTTCCGCGGGAGCCAAAGTGGCTGTAAAATTCCACCGCGCTCATGTGCCAACTGGACACTCAGAGGCGCGGCCAAACTCGCGCCCTCTAACAGTCGGGGTGTCGGCAGGTGCACTGACCGGGGGCGGGGCGACCTGGCGATCCCATCCTTCAGATCTCCCAGCTGGCGCCCTGGGCAGCATCCCCGGGGCAGCGCCCTCGGCCCCAGGCCCCGGGATCTCAGCAGAAGCTGCATCGGCAGCTTGGGGGCGCCTGCCCACATTCTGTAACCTGTCCAGAGGCGGTGCTGTGTTTTCTGTCCTCACCAAGGACATTTTAAAAGTTGACTTTAGAGAGAGGAAGGGAGGGGGAGAGAGAGGGATTGATCAGTTATTTCCCATATGTGCCTCGACTAGGGGGTCAAAACTGCTACCTGGGTATGTGTCCCGAGTGAGAATCGAGCCCACAATCTTTTTGGCGTACAGGACGATGGACACTCCAACCAGCCGAGCCCCCGGCCAGGGCACTGGTATTCACAGCAGACCAAGGCCTGTCCCTGAGGCCTCTGCCCCACGGGCCCACACTGACACTGAGCTGCTGGGTCCAGCCCCAGAGCTGGGCTCCCTTCCAGCCCCTTAAAGTGCACCTGAGAGACGCAGAAGCATCCGAGTATGGCCTGCTGGCAAAGAGACCTGGTTCCCATGCTCCCTCCGGAAAAGGGGTCTTGTCCCAGGAAGCATCTCCGGGCCTGGGTGCCGGGCAGGCCAGGAGCCCAGCCTTTGAGGCGATTGGCACAATGGAGAGTCAGATCTGGGGGATCTTTCCCACCAGCTGGCTTTGTGTCCTTGGCAGGTCACTTCACCTCCCAGGGCCTCAGACTTCAGACTCTTAAAGGCTCTGCTAAAACCTGCCATAATGGTAACAGCAGCCAACATCACAGTGGCGGGCTCCTTTAGTCCTCACCACCACCCTCTGAGGGCTGGATTCGTCAGCCCATTTTACAGATGAGGAAACCAGAGTCCTGGCAGGCCAAGTGGCTTTCCAAAGGTTGCACACTGGAGCCACCCATTGGTCTGGGTGGAGCTGGGAGCTGAGGCACAGGAAGTGCTGGGTGCAGTGTGAGTAACCAGCCACTCCAATGCCAGCCTGGAGGGGTGGAAGGCACCCTCACCTCCCGCTTGGCCCCCTGCTCCCCGAGGGGGAAGCCCAAGGTGGGTGTCCCTTACTGCACCCTTTGTCCTAAGGCAGGCCCCGCCCGTGCCAGTTTGCAGGAGGACAAGCCTGTTTGGGAGGCCCAGCCCGAATGTGAGAGCAGTTTGGAACTGAAACTGGTTCCCTCCCCGCTCTGGCCTAGAACGTCTCCCCTTTTCCCTTCCCCCGGGAAGTGAGGGTGTGCCCTTCTCCGCAGGGAGAGTGCCAAGCCCGGCAGCGCCCCCAGCCCCCAGCCGCTGACTCACTCCTGCTGGGTGTGGGGGCCCAGAGGGCAGCGCCTTCGCTTGGGCGGGTGTGGGCTGTGAGCACATATGACAAGGTCACCTCCTCTTCCGCGCGGGGACCAGAGGAGGCTGGGGCGCTGGCCAGGGAGCAGATTCACAGGCGCAGAGCCCTCCTGGGATGCGCCAGTGACCCGGTGTCTTCCTGGGGCCTCTTGGAAAGGGCCCTGCCCGCCCCGCCTGGGAGAGGGGTGGAGAGACCGCCTCCCCCCGCCCCTCCTGCCTGGGAAGTCTTCCCAGCCTTTCTGAGCTTCAACAAAAGGCTCTCTGTGCCTGTTTACCCGCCGCCCTGCCTGCTGGCACCGCTCAGGTGTGGAACCCAAGGCTCTGTAGGCTGCAGAGGGCTGGAGCTTGCTGGGTGGTCTTACTCCGGGCCCGAGGGCCAGCGTGCCATTTCTCTGCCTCCTGTTCTGTCCGTAAGAAGCTGAAGGAGGAAATCAGCAACGGGGACCAGGCTTGAAACCCAAGGGGTGGTCCCGGGGCCTCTAGGTGTCTGGTCTGGCCTCAGGTATTTGTGTTTGCAGCTCAGCCCTCACTGGGTGTCCCCCCACCCCACCCCCTTGAATCCTGGGAGGTGTTCTGCCCTGGCAGTGGGTGTGGTAACTATAGCGTGCCTTCCTGTGTCAGACTCGGGTTCTCACAGTATGCATCTTCTGTGTAATCCTCACAATAAGCCTCTGAGGTGGGGACCTACCAGTCCCCTTTACTGTTGGGGAAACTGAGGCTCAGAGGGGAGCAGCTGTGGGTCTGAGCTCACCTGCCCTGAGACTGGCTCCCCCGGTGAGGGCTGTGCCCGGGGAGTGCCCGCTCCTGGGAAGGACAGGCCTTTTTCTAACGCAGGGGATGGACGGCGGGCACTTCTCGTAAACGTTTACGATCCTCAGAGACCACACCATGAGGAAGGCCTTTGGCTTCTTCCTCCTTATAAAAGTACCACATTTGCCTGGCCCCAACCATGTGGCTCCATGGCTGAGCATCGACCTATGAACCAGGAAGTCGCGGTTGATTCCTGGTCAGGGCACATGCCTGGGCTGTGGGCTCCATCCCCAGTGGGGATTATACAGGAGGCAGCTGACCAGTAATTCTCATCCTGGATATTTCTCTCCCTCCCTCTCCTTTCCTCTCTGAAATCAATAAAAAAAAACTTTTTTTTAAAATAAAATAAGTAATTTGCCTGGGGTCATGGATTGTTTCATGGCAGAGCTGGATTTGAACCCGTGTCTCCCCAGCTCCAAAGCTCTCGTTCTTTGCACTCCTGAGATCAGCCTGCCGCCCCGGGGAGGGTGGGGCCTCAGGGTTGCTTATCTGACTCGCAGGAGCAGGGGTGCTGGAACCGGAGCCCCCTTCTCCCTGCCTGTGGGCACCGGGGGAAGGGTCTGGCCACTTCCGCATCTCCGTGGGGCAGGGCGGGAGCAGGAGGGTGGTCCTCAGCGCCCACAGGTGCTGCTGCCCAGCGAGCAGCGGCCAGTTGGAAGGAGGAGCTGCATCTGCTGCCCTGGCAGCGCTCCAGTGGCCACTGCCTCCAGCTGCGCCTGGCAGGTGTGAGGGCCAGAGAGGGCCAACGGGGTGATGGTTTTGGTAAATTTTGTATGAAATACAATAGTTTAAGCACCCAGAAAGGTATAAAACTAAAACACATGTTTTTATATCCAAGACTTAGTTTTTTGCAATAATTGCTTCCGATGTCTCTCTCAAATTATTTCAGGCACAGTTAAAGTATCTTTTCTAATGCCGTTTTCTCCCCACAAGTGAAATTATTACCTTCATTTTGGGGCCCGCCATGCATGTTTTTATGCCCTCACTACACATGGCACACACGTGACAGAAAACCTTATGTAACGTGTGTATCGGTCTGTAGCCTGCTTTTAGTCCGTTGTTTTTGAGGTCTGTCTACCCAGGTAGCGTTTTCTTTGCTTTCCTTTTCAGTTGTATTATGATTATAGCAGTTTACCCTTCCGTCCCTTAATGATATTTAGCGTGTCGCTGACCTTTTGCTATTAGGAACAGCAAACTCTTCCATGAGTATTCCTATGTGTGGCTTCACATGTATGTGTAATTGCTGTTCTGTGGGACCCGTGTGCCCGAGCGTCCTCTAGGAATTCAGCATTGCTGCAGGCGCAGCGGAGTGAACCGGCATCTGGTTGTTTTAATTTGCATTCCCTGATTAGCAGGGAGATTAATAATTACTTCAGACGTTCACTTCCACTTGCATTTTTTCTTTAACTTGTCTATTCATATATTTGGCCTTTTTTTTTTTTTTTCTTTCAACTGATTGTCCTTTTTTGTTTGTTTGTTTTCAATCCTCACCTGAGGGTTTTTAAAAAAATTGATTTTAGAGAAAAGAAGGGAGGCAGGGAGAGACAGACAGTCATTGATGTGAGAGAGACATTGATCTGTTGCCTCCGTATGTGCCTCTGCTGGGAATGGAGCCCGGAAGCTGGTACGTGCCGGCCGGGAATGGGACTCGCCCTTTCGGTGCAGGCGACAGCGCTCCCACCAGCTGAGCCGCCCCCCGGCTCGATTGCCTGTTTCTAGTGGTCCTAGGAGTTCGGCGTTTGATTTGTGTTCACATGCCCCTTGGTTCCTTGACCACATTTTACAAAATATGGGCACGTCTGTGACATTCTCCGCTCCCTTCCAGACAGGGAAACTGAGATCCTGGCCGAGAAGCCGTTTCCACACCTGTGCTAGGAGGCACTGCTGGCTCCGGAGGGCTGAGCGAGGGAGGGGCGGATGCTCTGTCTGCAGGAAAGGCCCCTCCCCTGACTCTGCCTCCTTCCTTCCCTGCTCTCCCACCACACCCAGTGTGTCCCAGGGCAGCTGTCCGGTGAGGTCTGCTCCCTCTGAAGGGCCTCCTGGAGGAGATCTGATGTGAGGGTGCCCTCTGTAACTGACAGGCAAATCTCTGTTGTCCCTGAGCCTCAGTCTCCCTATCTGTAAAACGGGCATGAGGAATATTATCCAAAAAGGAAGGAAATTTTTAAAAATATATATTTTATTGATTTTTTACAGAGAGGAAGAGAGAGGGATAGAGAGTTAGAAACATCGATGAGAGAGAACCATCGATCAGCTGCCTCCTGCACACCCCCTACTGGAGAGGTGCCCGCAACCAAGGTACATGCCCTTGACCGGAATCGAACCTGGGACCTTTCAGTCCTCAGGCCGACGCTCTATCCGCTGAGCCAAACCGACTTCGGCAAGGAAGGAAATTTTGATACATGCTGCAACATGGGTGAACCTGAGGACATTGTGTTAAGTGAAATGAGCCGGTCACAGGAGGACAGGTGTTTGGGTGGGGACGGGGGTGGGTGTTAAGAGCCAGGCATGCTGTTTCCTGCCCTCTGAGCCTCAAGCTCCCTCACCTGGAACCAGCGCTGTGAACAGTTCCCGCCTCCGACCAGGGTCAGGACGGCAGCGTGTGCACAGCCCAGGATAGCAGGGCCCAGAGGCCGCCTCGCTGTGAGGCTGGGCGTTCTCGGTCCTGACACACCCACTCCCCTTGGAAACCACATCCTGCCTGGTCAGAAACAGCCTCCACCCCCCACGCCTGGCATCCTGCATGGCCCACTCAGCCTGGATTCTCCGGGCAGGCCCCAGGCCCTCTCCTCCTGGCCCCTCTTCTCTTCCGGTCCGCCGTCATTGGGTGTCCCCCGGAGGAGGCTTGGGGAGCCAGGAGGGCGGGTCGAATGTCTGGGTGCCTCGCAGGAGGCTGGCTGCCTGGTTCAGCAGGCCTCCCCTGGAGTGCCGCTTCCCGGGGGTGTGGGTGGTGAGGAGCAGCTGGTCATTAGGGGGCCCTGGCCTTTCTGTGGCGGCGCTCCTGGCCCCACCGGGAGGCTGACCGGGGCCGGAGCCACCGGCCAGGGCGGAGCTGGTGTCTGCTGGCCCTGCAGTGACCTGGGCTCGGCTGGGGAGCTGCACTCTGTGCTCTGTCTCCTGGGACCGCTGCTGTGTGGGGCCCTGGGCAGGCTTTGGTAAGGACCCGAGCAGGGAGGGGTCGGGGGCGTGGTCTCAGCTCTGCCCTCGGTTTATAAGAGTGACACTGGGCAGGTGACTCGACCTCTCTGGGCCTTAGTTTCCCCATCTGTGGAATGGGGCTGAAGATAGCCCTCCGTCCTGGCACCAAAGGGTTCCACGAGAGGACCCCATGGTGAGGGCCAGCTCGGGGCCCCGGTTTTTCCACAGGGTCCTGTTTTGCTTTCCTTCTGTCCTCCCCACACATCCCAGCATGCTCTAGGACAGGATGGGGAGTTTGCAGGGAAGCCCTGTTTTAGGAAACATTCATGCTGTTGTCATTATTTATAGTATGAGTAATCAAAATAAGGTGGCCAGTCCCATAACCTGGCACCCTTGTTCCTCTCCCAAGAGAAACAGATCCATTTGTCAAAACACAGGATTTAACCTTCGTTTAAAGTCTAGGTTACAAAATAGGGTGTAAAGTAAAATCACAGTCTTATTTTTAAAAACATACACAGAAAGGACTGGAAGGTCATTACTCATTGAAAAGGTAACAGTGGTAAGTCTGGGCGTGCTTTCACAGGGACTTCAGTTCTAGCCTCACGCTTTTCGTCTTTTCCCAGGCCTTCTGCAGACATCAGGTACCTTCTCGTCCCATTCCTCTGACATGGCTCATTACCGGAGCACCAGGCCTTGCAGAGCGACACGGAGGAGAGTCCTTGCCCACGTTTATTCCGTGGCTGCCTCCTGTACGCCACAGGCTGAGTTCCTGAATGTGGCTTCTCAGCTAGTGCTTCCCAAACCTGGCCAATCACTAGTGTCACCGAAGTCACGTATTAAAAAATCACGCCCTACATCACCCCCAAAAATCAAATTCCTGGCTCTACCCGGGATCTGCGGAATTGGCCTCTTCTGGGAGGGACCTGCTGCTACTGCTTTTAATTTCTGTATACACACACGTGGCAGACGCAGCCAGAGGCCATTTTCCGTAGTGCATCGTCAGGATCTGCCTTCCTGCTTCCAGTTGAGAACATGTTGTTCTCTTGTCCCCTCACCCAGGAGCTGCTCCTACACTTCCAGTGTGTGTCCTCCGGTTCCCCCAGGGCTCCCAGAATCCTGTGTGGACATAACTCTATGCACACACTGAGGCGTGCTCAGACTTCCCTGTTTGGCTTACAAAAGTGAGCCCCCCCTTCTGCATTTGGCTTTTCTCAGACTCTGAGAAACGGCTTCAGGTCGCTGGCTCAGCTTCCTGGCAGCTGGCTCTGAGTGAACTGGTGGTTTCAACAAGCCCTTCTAGTCGGTCTGATCAGTAAGACCAAGCATGTCAAACTCAGAGGCTAACGGGCCAAATAAATGAGGCATACAGGCCATGAGTTTGACATGCTTGAATAAGAGGATAGGGTCTAGCCAATATCCTGAATGCTCCTGTGAGCCTGCATTAGCCACCTGTCATTGTGGGTCCTCATCTCAGTGCTCAGTTTTCCTGTCTGTGAAATGGGGAGGCTGCCTACCGTCCCCCACAGTGGTTTCCGGAGAAAGGCTGATCCGGGAGCTGCCACACAAGTGGCAAGCTCTGACTCCCAGCTAGACTAGAGGTGGAATTTTGGACGAGGTCATTGTCTCCTTCCCTTGACCCCTGGGTCCCAGAAAGCCAGGCCGCCCTGCAGTAACCCCTCCCGTGGGTGCCTTTCAGGTTGAACCATGATTCCGGTGACCGAGCTCCGCTACTTTGCGGACACACAGCCGGCGTACCGGATCCTGAAGCCGTGGTGGGACGTGTTCACCGACTACATCTCCATCGTCATGCTGATGATCGCAGTCTTCGGGGGCACGCTGCAGGTCACCCAGGACAAGATGATCTGCCTGCCCTGTAAGTGGGTCACCAAGGACTCCTGCAACGACTCCTTCCGGAGCTGGGCCGCCCCCGCCCCGGAGCCCGTCTACCCCAACTCCACCGTCCTGCCGAGCCCCGACACCGGCCCCACGGGCATCAAGTACAACCTGGACCGGCACCAGTACAACTACGTGGACGCCGTGTGCTACGAGAACCGCCTGCACTGGTTCGCCAAGTACTTCCCCTACCTGGTGCTGCTGCACACGCTCATCTTCCTGGCCTGCAGCAACTTCTGGTTCAAGTTCCCGCGCACCAGCTCCAAGCTGGAGCACTTTGTGTCCATCCTGCTCAAGTGCTTCGACTCGCCGTGGACCACGCGGGCCCTGTCGGAGACGGTGGTGGAGGAGAGCGACCCCAAGCCGGCCTTCAGCAAGATGAACGGCTCCATGGACAAGAAGTCCTCCACCGTCAGCGAGGACGTGGAGGCCACGGTGCCCATGCTGCAGCGGACCAAGTCTCGGATCGAGCAGGGCATCGTGGACCGCTCGGAGACGGGCGTGCTGGACAAGAAGGAGGGGGAGCAGGCCAAGGCGCTCTTCGAGAAGGTGAAGAAGTTCCGGACCCACGTGGAGGAGGGCGACATCGTGTACCGCCTCTACATGCGGCAGACCATCATCAAGGTGATCAAGTTCATCCTCATCATCTGCTACACCGTCTACTACGTGCACAACATCAAGTTCGACGTGGACTGCACCGTGGACATCGAGAGCCTGACTGGCTACCGCACCTACCGGTGCGCCCACCCGCTGGCCACGCTCTTCAAGATCCTGGCGTCCTTCTACATCAGCCTGGTCATCTTCTACGGCCTCATCTGCATGTACACGCTGTGGTGGATGCTGCGCCGCTCCCTCAAGAAGTACTCCTTCGAGTCCATCCGGGAGGAGAGCAGCTACAGCGACATCCCCGACGTCAAGAACGACTTCGCCTTCATGCTGCACCTCATCGACCAGTACGACCCACTCTACTCCAAGCGCTTCGCCGTCTTCCTGTCGGAGGTGAGCGAGAACAAGCTGCGGCAGCTGAACCTCAACAACGAGTGGACGCTGGACAAGCTGCGCCAGCGGCTCACCAAGAACGCGCAGGACAAGCTGGAGCTGCACCTGTTCATGCTCAGCGGCATCCCCGACACCGTGTTCGACCTGGTGGAGCTGGAGGTGCTGAAGCTCGAGCTGATCCCGGACGTGACCATCCCGCCCAGCATCGCCCAGCTCACGGGCCTCCAGGAGCTGTGGCTGTACCACACGGCGGCCAAGATCGAGGCGCCGGCCCTGGCCTTCCTGCGCGAGAACCTGCGGGCGCTGCACATCAAGTTCACGGACATCAAGGAGATCCCGCTGTGGATCTACAGCCTGAAGACGCTGGAGGAGCTGCACCTCACGGGCAACCTGAGCGCCGAGAACAACCGCTACATCGTCATCGACGGGCTGCGCGAGCTCAAGCGCCTCAAGGTGCTGCGGCTCAAGAGCAACCTGAGCAAGCTGCCGCAGGTGGTCACGGACGTGGGCGTGCACCTGCAGAAGCTGTCCATCAACAACGAGGGCACCAAGCTCATCGTCCTCAACAGCCTCAAGAAGATGGTGAACCTGACCGAGCTGGAGCTCATCCGCTGCGACCTGGAGCGCATCCCCCACTCCATCTTCAGCCTCCACAACCTGCAGGAGATCGACCTCAAGGACAACAACCTCAAGACCATCGAGGAGATCATCAGCTTCCAGCACCTGCACCGCCTCACCTGCCTTAAGCTCTGGTACAACCACATCGCCTACATCCCCATCCAGATCGGCAACCTCACCAACCTCGAGCGCCTCTACCTGAACCGCAACAAGATCGAGAAGATCCCGCCCCAGCTCTTCTACTGCCGCAAGCTGCGCTACCTGGACCTCAGCCACAATAACCTGACCTTCCTCCCCGCCGACATCGGCCTCCTGCAGAACCTCCAGAACCTGGCCATCACAGCCAACCGGGTGAGTGGGGGTGCTCAGGAGGCCCGGAGGCTGGGGACCCCACCCGTGGTTCCCAGAACTGCCTAGAGGGGCCTCTAAAAATACAGACTTCCCGGCCCCACTCCAGACCGGCCAGATCAGGACCGCAGTTCTGCCGGGAGGGACGCGTGGTCACATGCGGTCTGTCCCTCGTGCAGATGCCCTTGTGCAGGTTTCTCAGAGGCAGGATGTGCAGGGCAGGAGGTCCACGGCCTGTGTTTCTCTCTCTGTCCATCTCAGGGTTGGGTGCGGGAGGCGGGACTTAGCCTGGATCGAGCGGTATTTCCCCAGCTGGGCCCAGACCAGATTTGGGGCTGCAGGAACGGGAACTGTGGTGGCTGCTGTGCGCTGAGGGGAAGCCACGCCGCCTCCACAGCTCCTGGCGCGCCGCCCTCCCCTCTCCCCCGCGTTTGGGCGGTGGAGGGCAGAGCGGGGCGTGATTGGGGCTGACTTGCCACCCCCTCTCTGGAGAGGATGTTGTGCAAACCGTTGGGGAGGCCACGCCCTGGAGACGGTTGCCATCCCAGTGCGGCAGCCCACGCCTGGCCTGGGAAGCCCCCCGTCCCTCCGTAGAGGCGGGGTGGGGTCAGGGCTGGTGCTCCCGCGGTTTTGTGGTCTGGCCTGTGCAGTGAGAAAGCACAGCCACTGAGGAGGCCTCCCGCTCCCCTCCCGGCACCTGCAGGGGGAGTGACAGTGGGAAGAGCAGGTTGTCTGAGTCCCTGCTCCCAAGATGGCAACTCCTAGTGAGGTGGGCAGCGATGGAGGCCGTGGCTAGGGGCTGGGATGGGGCCGATTCAGACATCGCGCCTGTGCCTCCTCGGACACAGTGGCATAGGCAGCCCCGTGGGTTAGAGCCGCGCTGTGTGTCAGCCCTGTGGGGGCAGTGTCCCTGCATCCCCGGTCCCAGCAGCCCCGAAACGCCCTGCCCAGGGACGGACACGCCTCTCGGTGTCACTCGGACTGGGGGTCCAGGTGTGCCATTTAGAAGCGCCCCTCTTCCTGGAGCCTCTCTGACTGCAAACAGCCTGTCCCCGTATATCAGAGACGGGGCACGTCCTGGTCCCCTCCCCGTTCAGACTGTGAGAATGCCTGAGGATGAACAGGGGAGAAGGTCAGACCCCAGGTGGCTTCACCCCGAGAATCTGCCCCTGGAGCTGGGCCAAGGGGTTGCCCCAGAACACAGCTCTAGCCCAGGGCTTGATGGGCCCTCTTCCCAGGCTCCCCATCCTGTCCCCCACCCCAGCTGCCCACCCCAGTGTGCCTGTGAGGTCATTCTGCTGGCTGAGGTCACCCTCGGGGAAGGAGCTGGTGGCAGGCAGGCATCTGTCCGCAGGAAGGTGACCCCGTTCGGCGCATTGCTTAGTCACGTCCTGTCCCGCCGCCTGGAACACCAGGGCCTTCCCGGGAAACAGCTCACTTCCCAGTCTTCAGGCTCCTCCTCCTCAGCTGGAGCTCTCTCCAGCCTCAGGAGCCTGCAGGTGGAAAAGCAGGGGTAGGTGGCCCAGCTCAGGCCCTTGACTAGCGTGTTCCCAGTGTCACTGGTGCCAAGGGGAACCTGACAAGCAGGCATTCGCTGTCCACTCACTCAGTCACTTGTTCATGGACGTGGCAGGCGTTCTGAGCACTCAGTGAGTGCGGGGCCGGGGGCTCGGGCATGAGCAAGGCCCGCGGTGTGCCCACCCTGAGCGCACTGTCTGGTGGGAGAGGCGTTTTGCACAGAGAGCCTGCGCCCACACTGACCCGGGGCGGGGCCTCCGGGAGGAAGGAGGTTCCACCGGGCCCTGCAGGAGGAGGAGGAGGCGGCCAGGTGAGAGGGGAGGGTCTGGCAGGTCCAGTCCCTGGAGTAACTGACAGCTGAGGGCGAGGACCAATGGGGAGGACCATGAGCCAGCGAAGTCCAGAGGAATTTGGACTTTCCCTGAGGGCAGGCCCAGGCTGTCCACCAGGCTGGGAGGAGCATCCTGTTCCTCCCACCTCCCTTCCAGTGAGCGGCTCTACCCCGTTCCCATTCCTCGTACCCGGCCAGGCTCTCAGGACAGGACCTGGCTTTTCTGCTCAATGCAGAGGTCCGCCGAGCTCTTGCTGATTAAGTGAACAGAGGAGCAAGCTGACTTGCAGTTTAGAGATTGCTCTTGCTGCCCCGGGAGGGGAGGGGTGGGGTGGAGGGGGCAAGGAGAGCAGAATGGTGCATGTGGAAACCCGTGTGGCTGCAGAGGCTGCAGGGATGGGGAGAGAGGATTTCCAGGGTTTGGGTGGGACTCACAGATCGTGGGCTGGCTGGTGGCTTGAGGTTTCTCACCCGGCTGCCTGGGGGAGAGGGGGAGGTCATAGAGACAGGACACGGGAGGAGGCAGGTTAGCAGAGGAGACTGTATGTCCAGCGCCGGGTGTCCGGGGCCCTGGGATGTCCAGGAGGCCATGTTGAGTCAGCCTAAAGCTCAGGTGTCATGGCCCAGGGCTCGGGGAAGGAAGGAAGTCTGGTGGAGCTTCCGAGTAGAGGGCAGAAGAGCAAGGCCAGGCAGGGTGTGGGCTCATGGCACTGAGGGGCCAGGGGGAAGGAGAGCGGGTTTCAGGGGTGGATGGGGAGGAGGCTGGGTCACACAGCGGGCTGAGGAGGGATGGCAGCTTTCCAGGCCATTGTTGGGGAGGTTGGAGAATGGTGGAGCAGCCCCAGAGGCTTCTGGGAGGTTGTCTTTTTCAAAGATCAGGTAGATTGGAGGCCACCTCGGTGCTGGTGGGGGGGACACTGAGGTCCCTGAGGAGGTGGGACCGAGCAGGACTGGGGACGAACAGCACCTCAGGAGGAAGGGCGGGAGCCACTGCAGCCTCCTTCGTGTGTCTGGAGAGAGGGCATGGCTGGGCAGGGGTGTTCCGGGAGAGGGTTTTCAGGGAGGGAGCTCTGCATGTGATCCCCGGCTCCGTCACTCATCCCCGGAGCCTTTCCCGGGCCCTGACCACGGCCTGTGCCACCAGAGCGTGCCACTGTGGGGGCTTTGGCCTCTCGGTACTGCTGGAGCCCCGTCCCATCTTCCTCTCGCCGTCTGTCCCTGCACTGGCCCATTCCTGACCGCGGGGCACAGCGTGGCCTCTGCCACAGCCACAGCCACAGCCACCCGGGCTTTCTGCTGCAAGGACACGGTCCTCACCTGGAACGAGTTCCTCTCCAAAGATGGCCGAGAGGGCAGGAGCCTCCTAGGTGGAGGCCCAAGTCTGCCCAGAGGCCGCAGCACGGATCCGGCCCAGAGGCATCCTTCCCATTCTGCAGCGGGAAACTGAGGCCCAGGCAGGGAAGGCTCTGCCCGGCCGCCGAGCGCCGTATTTGGCAGAATGGAGCTGCGGCGGGGCTCTGAGTCAGCGGAAGCAGGGCCGGCCCTTCCTGGCTCTGCACGTCCCATTTCACTTCCCCAGCGTGGCCTCCTCGCAGGACTGGGCCGGGGCAGGGCCGCCTCAGTGGTTAGGGTTCCTCCTGTGCGTTACCTCTGAAGGAGGTCATCTCAGGACACCCTGGCTCAGTAAGAGCGCGCGCTGCTGGCTGACACTCGGAGAGGGCCGGGGAGAAGCTGGCCTTCCCTGTGCCCGCAGACCGTCCCCACTCGGCCCCGTGCTCACTCCTCATTCCACCAACAGTGCAGACGCTTAGCAGAGTGTGTGCTGTTGAACCAGGTTTAAATGTTAACTCCACCTTCCTGGGCAAGTTAGCTTCTCGGGGGCCTCAGTTACCCCATCTGTGAGATGGGAAGAGTGTTTGCGGAATATTTACCGCTCCGTTCTAGGGTTAAGAGAGTTAAACCGGATTGAGTGCTGAGCTAAAGAGTGTTGCCCATTACTCTGCTTTTGCAAAATCAGAAAGAGGGGTCTCTGCCTTGCCACTGGGCTCCGTGCTCTTGTGAGCAGCCTGGGACTTGACAGGAGAAAACGGGCCCAGGAAATGGGGGTTGACACAGCTGGGATTCTCCCGCCTGTGGCCAGCTCCCCCGGTTCCCAGCAACACGAAAGGGTGAGGAATCTTCTCAGCGTGCTGCTCTGCTCTCCTAAACTGTCCTCCACCAGCCAGGACCCACAGCCTGGCTCCCAGGGAGCCCTGGGTGGGGGGCGGGAGTGTCTATAGGAGCTGGCTAGCGGGCTGTGCTCTCAGGGTGCCAGGTGTGGAGACAGCGGGCAACGAGGTGGACCCGGTCCCGCCCGCTCAGAGCTCCAAGCCCCGGGGTGGCAGGTGGTCAGGCAGTGGCAGCACGGGGAGGGCAGTGTTGCGGGCACAGGTGCCAGATTGCTCAGGAGGCATGGGAGGCTCCTGGAGAAGGTGACCACAGAGCGGAGGCCTTGCGTGCAGGCGGCAGGGAGCGGCCTCTGGCCCGGGCGGTGCCGGTGCCCGGGGGCGGGCAGGGAGGGCAGCCTGGGAGCCAGAGGCCCTCGGTCGGAGTCCTGCCCACCTCACCGTCCCCTCCTTCCCTCCAGATCGAGGCGCTGCCCCCGGAGCTCTTCCAGTGCCGGAAGCTGCGGGCCCTGCACCTGGGCAACAACGTGCTGCAGTCGCTGCCCTCGCGGGTGGGCGAGCTGACCAACCTGACCCAGATCGAGCTGCGGGGCAACCGGCTGGAGTGCCTGCCCGTGGAGCTGGGCGAGTGCCCGCTGCTCAAGCGCAGCGGCCTGGTGGTGGAGGAGGACCTGTTCAACACGCTGCCGCCGGAGGTGAAGGAGCGGCTGTGGCGGGCCGACAAGGAGCAGGCCTGACCGTGCGGGCCGCCCAGCGCAGGGACCACCGGGCCTCCGCCCCGCACCCGGGCGCCCGCCTCGGCCCGGCAGGACGGGAGCTGGGCCAGGGGGCCGGCAGCACCTGAGGGGCTGGCCCCTTTGCCCGCTGAGACTGTGCCCGCAGGCGCCTGCGGGAGCTGGGGACCTGTGATCTGTCTCAGAGCCGTGTCTGGACAATCAGGCCGCCTCCCTGGAGGCCGTCTCTGCCCCAGGGGCTGAGCCATGCAGAGGTCCGGGGACATCACCTTAGCTCTTGGTATTTATTTTCTCCACCTCCGCTCCCTCCTCCAATAACTCACACATTCCCAAGGAACGCTCCCGTGGGGGTGTTGGAGGGAGGGGGGGCTGTTTTGCTTTCCCTTCTGTGGCGCCGCCAGCATTTAGTGCCCACCGGGACCTGAGCAGAGTGGCCAGGGAGATCACCCCGGGGTGCCGGGCTGGGCTCTGGGGCCCGGCGTGCAGAGCAGGCCACCAGGTGGGAAGGCCAGGCCTGGGGCTTGCCTCACCCGCTTTGGCTTTTTTTTTTTTTTTTTTTTTTTAAGTCACACTTTTTTTAAGCTTTGAAAACGGAGGGTTTGGGTATTAAAAAGAAAAAACGTAAAAAAAAAAAAAAAAAAAAAAAAAGACACTAAAGGCCAGTGAGCTGGAGTCTCAGGGTGGGCGCAGCTCCCCGCGGGCGGCAGGACCGAGTGTTTCCTCCCGGGTGTCTTCCGAATCTGCTGACCTTGGTCCAGAGTTCTCTTTGTTCCTCTCCTCCCCTGGGGGGCAGAGGGGGGGGACGTTGCTGTTTTGTTTTCCGTGTCTTGTTTTCCTTCTCCCCCATGTGTCTTGGCAGGCGCTCACCGCTGTGGCCGCTGGCCAGAGGGAATGTTCTGGAGCTGCCAAGACGGGAGGAGACTCGGGCTGGCTACTCCCCGGGCGAACGGTGCTCCCTCCTCCCTGCCCCTCGTCACAGTGTTAGGAGCCAGGAGGGCTGCCTCTCGGACTCTGCTTCCCCACCTCCTGTGTCATGAGTGTGCCCGGTGCCACCCCTCGGCCCCGCTGCTCCCGTCCGCACAGACGGTGGGAGGAGGCGGGCGGCGGTGGGGAGGTCGCCCCCGGAAGAGGGGGCTCCCCAAGCCTGGCACCCGGGGCCCGCTCAGCGCCCGGGGGCGAGAAGCCCTCACTGTGGATCGGTCAACGGGGTCCGCCTTAGATCAATCACTTGGACACTAAGGCACGTGTCAGCGTCTCTCGTCTGAACAATCACGTCTCTGTCCCACTGTGTGTTCTGCGTCGCGTCATTGAATGTTACCCTCGGAAATAACGCACACTAGCCTGACAACCACGAAGCAATCCGTTACCTGTGGGTCTGAACTGTAGACTCGTTCGAATATCAAATAAACCTGTAACAGAAAACGGTCTCTGGAGGGTCCGTTAGTGGGGAGACCCTCCCCTCAGCTCAGGATTCGGCAGCACCTGCTGGTGTTGGAGATGGGCCCGGCCATTGGTCCCACAGCCAGCACGTGCGCTGTGGGCAGGGTGCCTGTGGGCCCTCTGAGCTTTGTGGGGGGGGGGGGGGGGCTGGTGGCTTAGAGGGTACCTAATGGGAGCCAGTCGTCTCAGGCTGTGTCCCAGCGCCTCACCTGCAGGAAGCTGGGCAGATGCTTTCCTTCCTGGGGCCTCTTCATCCTCATCTGTCCAATGGGAACTTCCTACGCTGTCCTAGGTTCTTGTCATCCCAACAGCCAGTCCCCAGGGCTCCTCAGAGGCGGGGCTGAAGTGACCCTGAGCCCTCAGTCACTCGGCGGCCTGCCGAAGGTGCTGGGGTCCAGAGCAGAGGCTTAGCCTGCCCTCAGATCTTAGCGCTGCTGCCCTGATGTGAGGCCTGTTTCCTTATCTGTGAAAGGGTGGGGTTGCCGGCTTGTTCTGAGGCTGACTCATGCTGGGCCTGGGCCCCTCTAGGGCCCCCCCTGAGTCTCTACTCCATTGTGAGTGGGGTCTTCGCTTCCTCGGATCTGGCCGCTCCCTCCCCTCCCCTGCCTGTCCCCACCCCAGCATTGGGGCCGCCCAGTGTCAGAGCAGGAGTGTTTGATCTGGAGCTGGTTAGTTTTTGGAGAAAACAAACACCACCCACCCACTGCTCAAAACCTGAGCAGGCCCTAGCCGGTTTGGCTCGGTGGATAGAGCGTTGGCCTGTGGACTGATTCTGGTCAAGGGCATATGCCCAGGTTGTGGGCTCGATCCCCAGTGGGGGGCATGCAGGAGGCAGCTGACCAGTGATTCTCATCATTGATGTTTCTGTCTCTCAATCCCTTTTTTTCCCTCTATGAATTAATAAAAATATATTTTTTAAAAGAAGTTTTTAAATAAGACAAAACAAAACACCGGAGCAGAATAAATGAACAAATCTCAGGAGACCCAATTCCTTCCCCTCCCCGCCAGGATTCTCCACTTAAAACCCAGTGGTTGTCTTTTCTCTGATTGCAAGAGCAGTTTGGAAAATTCGGGTTAAATTCAAAAATAAAAACGCCCCACATTCTCCCCAGAACAGCCCCGCTAACCTTTGGTGAGTAGTCGGTAGTGTTAATGGAAAAACCACTGAAACCTGTAAAGAATTTTTGTGAGTTTATTTGAGCCAAACTGTCGACATATGCCAGAAGCAGAACCTCAGTGGATTGAGATAATGCTCCGAAGAATGGCGGGTTACATTTCTCTGTACACTGCAATCAAAGGAGGGACATAGGTGGGTTACATGGAATTCATTGGTGATGGAGTAAGGAGGCGGGAGAAAGCAAAGTGGTGGGCGCAGGAACAATTAACCTGATAACAAAGGAATTTGAGGCATCTGTCCTGGCGCCCACCACATAGCCACAAGTTACCCAGACATCTCACAGATGTGTTATCTCAGAGGCAAAAAAAGGCCTGTGGGCTCAGTAAAGAAGATCTAAATTGATCTTTGTCAGGGAAAATATCGGCCTGGGACATGACTGCCCACTATGTCCTGTGTGTAGTTAAAATATTTAATTTTCAGACCATCTTTTGTGGTTATCTTAGGTCTCTGAGTTTGCAAGACTGCCACGCAGGCCTCCCCTGAGCTGGTCAGGTCAGCATGTGGCTCTTTTCTTTCACAGTAGGCATTTACTAAGTGCCAGACCTGTGCCACGCTGTGTTAGTGGTGAATTATTCATCTTCCTTACAAGAGAGAGACTTCTGCTATCCCCAAATTATAGGCGTGGATGGAGCCCGGGCTGCCTCTGAGGCTCCCAGGGGAGCTGTTAGGCCCTCACTGCACTCCCAGCACATGTCCATCCGCTGGGTGGCTGCATCGAAGGGGCCATGCTAGCGAGTGAGCCGAGTATCTCCCACGTGGTTCTGCCACCCCCTCCCCTCCCGGCCTGACCCTGCGAACCTCTGTCCCTCCGGCTCCCGGAGCTCGGAGCTCGGAGGCACTTTCCCTCCCAGGGAGGCTGGGGCCAAGCAGCTGCGCCCACTGCGGTGCCCAGGAAACAGAATTGGACTCTGAGCCAGGGCTCCCGAGGGCCGAGCGTGTCCCTGCACTCACTCCCGAGACACTCTGTCCCTTGGCCGTTCAGAAAACGTCATTTCAGGGAAGGCCAGTGGCCGGTTTTCAGAAGCGGCAGCCGGAGGGCCTGTGTGCGGCTGAGCAGTGCTGGCCAGGAGGGGGTGTGTGCAGGCTGTTCCCGCCCCTGGCCACCGCTGTGCCAGCCTAGCTTGAGACCCCCTTGGGCCTGGAGGTAGGGAACAGGAACCGTGGCTCTCCCTCATTCTGCAGACCCAGGCCCCCTGCTCTCCAGCCTCTTCCTCTGTTTAAAAAAAAAAAAGTTTGTGTTGATTTTGGAGAGGGAGAGAGAAATAGGACCAACAATGATGAGAAAGAGAGAGTCATGGATCAGCTGTCTCCTGCACCCCCCTCCCACCCCCAAGGGATCAAGCCTGCAACCCAGGCATGTCCTCTGACGGGGACTCTAACCATGACCTCCTAGTCCATAAGTCTACGCTCAACCACTGAGGCATGTTTTGGGAGAAAAAAAAAGCTGGGCTACCTCTTCCTCCTCCTAAGGTTCTCCTTATCTTTTTCCTTCCTGTCAGCTGCAGACTGATCTCCACACTCCCTCCCACAAACCTCCCAGCACCGGGAGTGTCCAGCTGGGAGGGGACCAGACAATCCCCTGAAGAGACCTCTTCCACCTTTGGTCTGGGGATGCGCGTCCCCCAGCCTCCACCCTCCCTCCCCAGGCCTCCACCCTCCCTCCCCAGGCCTCCATCCTCCCTCCCCAGATGCTGCTGCTGGGTCTGGGGACTTGGGTCACAGTTAGTGGTGGCACCTGGGCTGGCCCTCAGATGTCCTCTTGTCTGCCCAACTTTTTTCGCCCAGATACCTCTTAAGTTCAACTTCTGGGCACCTGGAAGCAGCCAGACCTTGAAGGAGATCAGAAAGGGTTAATCCTGGATTAGCTGGGAATCTGGACCCAGGGTATGGGAGGACCCCTCTAGGCACATGAGTCAGAGAGAGCCTGAAAAAACTGCCCCAGGCTGGTCTGGCGTGGGGCTGTGGCCGGGACCGAGTTTCCTCTGGGTAGGGAATGGTTAAGTCCTTCTGGGCCTCCCAGGTTCTATCCACTCTCCCACTCTCCCTCCCGACCTTTTCCCCTCCAGCCTTGGGCACAGCACCAGCGCTGAGAGCCGCCGACCACTCAGCCTCGTCCTCATGGCCTGCCTGAGCCCCGAGCAGCTCCAGAAGGTAGGGGCCTGCAGGGTGGGGGCAGGGGGGATTGGGTAAGAGTGGGAAGACCCTCTGGACTGGACGGAAAGTACCCCGATTCCGAGAACAACCCCTGGCACACATCCCGTGACAGTTTTCAACAGAGGAAACAGAAGGCAGAGGGCTCAATTCCCCTCAGGATCTCTGGCTTCTGAACACAAAGCCTGGTGTCCAGACCACAGCCGCGGGGTGGGAAGGGAGTGTGTGCATATGTGACCAAAACCCATAATAAGGCTCCGGGATCCGCCAGTCCCAGCCGCCCGGGATCCGGGCCTGCGATTCGGGGGCGGGGCCGGCCCGGGGTGAGCCATGCTTGGGTGCCAGGGTCCATTTACTTTAAACACAAAAGCTTAGCTCATGGGAATGGGAGAGACACAGGCTTTTCAATAACATGACCCTTGTTCGTTTCTGATGACGAGAGAAAAGTGCAGGAAGACCCAGAGGGGCCATGCCCTCAATCCTTACGCTGGCACAGCATTTTGGTATGCAGCCGCGGAATCTTTGTAAGGCCCCTGGTGATAGCTGGGAATGATTGCTTTGAGCCATCTGCCCAAGTTCTCACAGTGGCCAGGATACTTATTTGCATTTGGCTTTTTTTCCCCTCCCCATCAGGAATATATTTCCATGTCAGTAAATATTTTTCTACCACATGACGTTTTTCAGATGTTGTGTCCCAGACAGACCGACCGTACTCGGTTGAACAAATCCCTTTGTGCTGAGCATGTAGATTATTTCTGACTCATTGCCGTCACTGAACAAGCCTCGTGAACACCCCCTCACCTTCATCTTTGCTCCCCTGTTTGATAATCCTCCGACTTCTGTTCATTTGTTTATTTTTAATTCGCACTCAAGAATATGTTTAGGGAAAGGGAAAGAGAGAGAGAGAGAAAGAGGAGTTGGTTGCCTTCCCAAACTCACCCTGACCAGGGATCGAACCTAGATATGTGCCCTGATTGGGAATCGAACCCACAACCTCTTGGTGTACTTGGCTCCAACTCACTGAACCACCCAGCCAGGGCCCTCCAATGTCTTATCTCAAGAATGCTAGCCCTGTGTCAGGATCTCGGGTATGCACACTTAGCTGCGGGTGACCCAGTTCCCAGGGGGGTGGTTTTCGGCTTGATTCTGAGATGAGGATTGAGTTTCCATCACGCAGAGCTGCCCAGAGACTGAGGGCCCAGGGGGGGGGGGGGGGAGAAGGGCGGGCGCACAAATATCCCAACACCCTGTTGTGCATGGGAGGCGGAGCTGAGCGTCCGTGGAAGAGGGAATGGGGTCAGTCATTGGACATCGGACACTTCGCAGGGGTTCAGGAGGTGACTCAATGCCCCTATTCAGGCGACAGCTTCAAATCTGCAAGGAAAATGCAGGTGCTCTTTCCTACCCCCATAGCCTCAGAATGAGGGGACGGGGCAAATCAGAGCAAGGGCTTTAATGCCCAACTGCACTCATGCCAAAGCCCAGCCCCCCCGGCGTGGCCTGACCCCTGCCACCCTCCCATCTCCCTTCCAGGCCTCCCCCACTCTGCACCATCGGGTCCCCATCCTGCTCCCTCCCCTGGAGTGCTCCTCCTGGTCCCTCCCCCTCCCATTATCCTGCTGGTCCCTTTAAATGTCACTTCCTCAGGGCTGTTGCCCTGAGACCTCCTGTCCTCCCCATCTGGTTCCCATTAGACTCTTCCTTTAGTTCCACAACGGCCCTCTCCCTCCTGGCTCTCAGCAGTTTGTGACATCTGCTCCCCTGGTGCGGCCTGTTCCCCTCAGCCAGCCTCCTCCGCTGGACTGGAAGCTCTGGGAAGGCAGGCATCCTGGCTGGTTTCTTGTCACTGAGTCTCCGGCTGCTAAAACCGTATTTGGTGCACAGGCTGTGCTCCATCAATTATAACATGAATGAGGTTATATTCCCCTGTGGTCCAAGCTCAGTGGACGGGGAAGGGGGACACCTTACCTTTCCCTTCCCCCTTCCATCGTTCCAGAGAGGAAGGGAGAGGGAGAGAGAAACACTGATGAGAGAGGAACATTGACCAACTGCCTCCTGCATGCCCCCACTGGGGATCGATCCCCTGATCTTTTGGTTCATGGGTCAACACTCAACAGCTGCCGAAACTGATTTGGCTCAGTGGATAGAGTGTCCCACGTTCGATTCTGGTCAAGGGCATGTAACTTGGTTGCAGGCACATCCCCAGGAGGGGGTGTGCAGGAGGCAGCTGATTGATGTTTCTAACTCTCTAGCCCTCTCCCTTCCTCTCTGTAAAAAAAAAAATCAAATAAAAAAAATATATTTTTAAAAACACTCAACAGCTGAGCTACACTGGCTGGGCTTCTCCAGCCAATATGGACTGCTCCTCCCTGGGGGCCGAGCACTGTGGCCAGGTGGGGGCAGAGCAATGGACAGGACACTTGGTCCTGCCTTCACATGGTTTGGGGTCCAGTCAGTTCTCCAGGAAAGAATGTCTGAGGGCAGGGAAGCTGAGCCCCCTCCTGCCTGTAGTTCCAGGAGGATGGGTTCCTGGTGCTGGAAGGATTCTTGTCTGCAGACGAGTGTGCAGCCATGCAGCAGAGGATCGCGGAGATAGTGGCCGAGATGGACGTCCCGCTCCACTGCCGCACAGAGTTTTCCACGCAGGAGGAGGAGCAGCTGCGGGCGCAGGTGGGTGCTGGGGCAGCGAAGGTGCCATCTGGTCTTTGATGGGGGCTCAGGCCCCAGCCAGAGCGGCAGACTGGAGGCCCTCGGCTCATTCTGAAAACGGATGGGCTCCAGCCTTCCATGTGCCAGGCTGCAGGCTAAGTGTCCTGTATGCATAGTTTCTCCGATCCTCAGTATGAATGTCTAAGGCCAGCATTCTGGTCCCCATTTGACAGGTGGGGAAAGTGAAGGTTGACCCAAACCATGGGATTTTAACCCAGGTCTGTCTGGTACCAAACCCATGCCGTTCACTGCTCTGCCCTTTTCCTCAGTAGCTCTCCTGTCTCAAAGGGCCTCCTGGTGGCCAGGGATCCAACATGAGCCAGGTGATTCTGATGTGCCCACCTGGGTAGGGCTTCGCCCGCCTGTGAGGCTGGAAACTCTGCCCGTTTCCCTCCAGGGACCTAATACCACTCAGTCCAGTTTGAGACGGGGAAGTTGAGATTTGGGGATTCGTCCACAGTTCTCTACCGAACCCCCAAGCCAACACTGTCTGTGGTCCAGGCCCCCCAATGGGCCTCACTCACACTCATGCTGAGGAGCTGCTGCCACCTGGTGGGCACAAAGGGTATCACAATGGCCGAAGCCATGCAATCAAACAGGACGGGGACTTCAGGAGGAAAAGGGTTACAGAATAATTTCCTCTAAAGGGTTAGTTTCAATTGTCAGCCTTCTACATCTAACATCGTCACCTGCAATGTCATTAATATCAATTACGCTTCCCTGACATGTTTCCCTCCCCCTATCCTGGTACAGAGGAGCTAAGTAATGAAACACACACACACACCACACAACAACAACAAACCTTTCACTTTTCAGTGAGGAAGGCTTTGAAGGGGCCATGTAGACACGTGTAAAGCAGTGGCAGGACCCACGTTTGCCGTGCAGAAAGGCAGGGAGGTGGCGGCCAAGGGTGGCTGAAGCCACAGGAAAACATGGGACGTCTTTCTGGAACATCATTTCCAGGTGATGCTGAGAAATCGGACATGATATTAAAGTTAACAGGGAGAGGTGACTAAGACATAAAGAACAGGCATCGCTCATATTCATCAAGCACAGCCATGCCCTTGTGGAGTGTTCTCTAGTTAGCAGCAGTAACGTTAGCAAAAGCAGATGCATGTGACTCAACGGCTCTCCAAGGATGGTCCTGTGCTCTGTATGTACCTGCTCCTGATCCTTACAACCCCCCGGAGACAGGAGCCCTAACAGCAGCTGCGTCTCACGAGGAAACGAAGTGCAGAGAGGCTCGGCAGCGTGGCTCTAGTCACACAGCCGGTCAGCAGCAGCGCTGGGACCCCAACCCCAGTACTCTGGCGGCAGGGCCTGTGCTGTCCCTGCTATAAGATTCGCCTCTACCTCAAGCCTCCAACAACCCCTGGAGGTCAGTTCTGTTATTATCCCCTTTGCAGGAGGAAGCGGAGGCTCTGAGAGGCACCCCAAGCGCCCCAGCCTATGGGGCCCCAGGCCGGTTTGATTCCAGCGCCTGGTAGGAATCACACCATGTCCAGCTTGCGTCATGTGACTTATTAAGAGGTTTCCAAGAAATGTCGGGCTTGTAGCTCCCAGCTGTGCTCCCATTCCCTTCTGCCTCGGTGGGCAGGTTTGGGGAGCACCAGGGGGCCGCGAGCCCTGTGGGTGGGAAGCCTGCGAGCCCTCTTCCCTCCTCGCCAGGCCCACCTCTGACCCCGCGAGGCGATGCCCACTCAGTCTCTCTGATGTCCCTTCTCCACAGGGCAGCACCGACTATTTCTTGAGCAGCGGCGACAAGATTCGGTTCTTCTTTGAGAAAGGGGTTTTTGACAAGAAAGGTTTGGAGCTGGGGCCTAGGGGTGGGGGTACACTGGACTCAGGTATCTGTCCCCAGGGTGGCGGGGGGTGCTACCCAGGGAGGCTGGACTCTAGCTCTTCAGCCCGTCCCTGTTCCTTGTGCCACAGGAAACTTCCTGGTCCCCCCGGAGAAAGCCATCAACAAGATTGGCCACGGTGAGCGGGCACCTTGGGGGGGACTTGATAAACTGAGGCCTGGCCTGGGGGGGTTAAGGGTTACCCAAAGCAAGCAGGTTAGTGGCCCAGCAAGTGGCATTTCTTTTTTTCTTCAATATATTTTATTGCTCTGACCGGTTTGACTCAGTGGATAGAGCATCGGCCTGCGAACTCAAGGGTTCCGGGTTCGATTCTGGTCAAGGGCATGTACCGTGGTTGCGGGCACATTCCCAGTGGGGGGTGTGCAAGAGGCAGCTGATCGAAGATTATGATTCTCTCTCATCGATGTTTCTAGCTCTCTATCCCTCTCCCTCTCTCTCTGTAAGAAATTAAGTGGGGGGTGTGCAAGAGGCAGCTGACTGAAGATTATGATTCTCTCTCATCGATGTTTCTAGCTCTCTATCCCTCCCCCTTTCTCTCTGTAAGAGAGAGCTAGAAACATTGATGAGAGAGAAACATCGATCAGCTGCTCCCGCACACTCCCCATTGGGTATGTGCCTGAAACCAAGGCACATGCTCTTGACTGGAATTGAACCTGAGAACCTTCAGTCCGTAGGCCGACACTCTATCCACTGAGCCAAACCGGTGAGGGCACAAGTGGCATTTCTGACAGCAGTGCTCCCTGCTCCTCTGCACCTCATGATGCTAATCACATGGCACTGGGACGAGGGGTCCACAGAACCCCCCACCAAGGTGGGCACAGGCAGAGCCCCCCTGGCCTGGGGCTGATCCAGGCCCTGGGCATGGAGCTCTGGGTCCCGCTGCTTTGGAGTCTCCTTAAGGAGCACCTAACCTGCTGACACGGTCCCTGCTCGGAGACCCCAAACCGAGCTAGGAAGCGGGTGTTGGTTTTGGTTTGGTTTTCAGTCTGATACATTAGCATTTATTTGGTAGACTGCTTATTAGGGTACTGTTTTATGTTAATCACTGAGAAAATGCTTTTGTTGATTTTTAGAGAGAGAGGAAGGGGGAGAGGGAGCAAGACATTGATGTGTGAGAGAAACATCAGTCTGATGCCTCCCATATGTGCCCTGACCTGGAATCGAACCCGCAACCTTTTGGTGTTTGAAACGCTCCAACCAACTTAGTCACCTGACTAGGGCTATATTGCTTATTTTTAAACTTAAAGTTGTATCATCGTAGTTTTGTAAAAAATGGTCATAAAATACATACATAAATTTTACCGTTGAACAATTTTGAAGTGTACAACTGAGTGGCATTTAAGTACATTCAACCCTCACTTTTTAAAAACTGAGGTATGATTGACATATAACATTTCTCTCTCTCTCTCACATACACACACACACACACACACACACACACACACACACCGATTTTTGATTGTTTTGTAACACAGCCAATAAGAGAGGAGTGGCTGATGCAGGCCCTGGGCTGTGGTTGTATGATTGGCCCTGTGAGTCTGAGGCAGCATGGGAGGGGACGGGCCTGCTAGTCCCATTGTGCAGAGGGGCACACTGAGGCTTACAGAGAGAGGCCACATGGAGTGAGTGGCAATACGGAGACTGTCACCACGGAGCCCTCTGTCCTCTGAGGAGTGGGGAGTCAGGGCTGGAGTGATTCTCAGAGGTCTGGAAGGTCAAGAATACGGTCATGGGTGAAGTGGGACCTGTGATGGGGTGAGGTTGTCTGAGGGGCCCACTTTCTGGTTATAAACAAGCAGAAAGCTTAATGCACACACAATCGGTGAGAACGAGACTCGAGTCTGGATGGCCAGAGCTAGGCGTGGGGGGGCGGGTGTCGGGGCTGGGGACTGGCCCATCAGCCCACCTCTCCTGCAGCTCTGCATGCCCATGACCCTGTCTTCAAGCGTGTCACACACTCCCCCAAGATGCAGGTGAGCAGAGGCGGGGGTGAGGGTGGGTGGCTAGACCGGAAGTGAGTGTGGCTAGGCTGGCAGTGTGACCTCTGCCCCCTTCCAGGCCTTGGCCAGAAGTCTGGGCCTCCAGATGCCTGTGGTGGTGCAGAGCATGTACATCTTTAAGGTGAGCTCCCTGGCTTCCCCGGGCCTCAGTTTACCCTCCAGTAAAATGGGCAGAGTGCTCATACCAGGACCCTCCTTTTTGGGGGAAGTAAAAAAATGGCTTCCCAGGTTATTGCTAAGTTGGGGGAAGAGCATGCAAAATCGGTCTTCTCTGGCTAAGGCACCTGCACTTGGTTGGTGCTCAGTTAAAATGTGGTGGCAGGAGGGAGGGAGATCCCTCGGACTACCTCCTCCCTTTGGCGATTGAAATGCTCTGCTCCCAGCTTTCAAGGCCCCGCTCAGTACCACCTCCTCCAAGAAGCCTTCCAGCTCCCTTGGGAAGAGGCACTGGCCTGGTCCCAGCCTCTGTGGCTGCCCCTCACCTCTGCCTCATGTTCCGTTAGGCACGTGCACGGCCAGCCTGGGGGTGCCCTGCAGGGCGGGTGGTTTTCCTCTTTGCAGCCCTCCACCCTCCAGGTGCTCAGTAGATGGTGCTGATGGGAAGTCCTGGGAGGCAAACACCGGGCCAGGGAGGAGCTTCCTGCCCCTCCCCTGCCTCCTCTGCTCTCACCCGGCCCCTCCTCTCTCTTGCAGCAGCCTCACTTTGGCGGCGAAGGTGAGCCCCGGGCGGGCTGTGTGCCCAGCAGAGGCCGTGGTGGGAGATCTGGGATGGTGGCTGCTGAGTCTTCGAGGGAGGGAAGGTGCTGGCCGCGATGCCCGTGGGCCAGGGAAGAGAAGCCACCGTCCGGTCCTTCCTGGGACAGTGGATGGGGGCATCCTGGAGCCCCGCACAGTGGTCCCCGAACCTGGGCGCACTCGTCGCTGGTTAAAACACAGGTTCCCGGGCCCCTCTCCCTGCGATCACCAGCCAGTAGGGCTGCCGGGCCGGGAATCCTGTGTTCTTACCGAGTTCCCTGGAATACCCACTCAGCAGAGAAACCGATTAATTCCAACACCCTGGATGCACAGATACCTGTACGCCCCCTCGTGGGCGGCCAGCCACTTCTGCTCAGACACCTCCCGTGACATAAGCTCGCCCCTCACAGGCAGCCACTCTTCTCACAGGAGCCCCAGCTGCCTCCTGTGACCTCCTCCATTCGGTCAGGACTGTCCCTGACGATCTGGCACCCCCACTTCCTTCAGCCATCCCTCTCCAAACGTTCTGGGGTGCCCCTTTAGGACACCTTTCTCTTGACGTTGTCTGAATTGTCCGTGTGCCCCTTCCAGTTTGTGCTCAGAAAACACAGTTCCCCAGGAAGGAAGGGAGAGGCTAGTACTGCTTCACTTGGTTGTTACCAAGACAATGGCCTTTGGTCACTGGTCCCCAACCGGACTGGGCCCCAGCACCAGGGAGGGGTACTTATGGATGCTATTAGTAGGCCCCTCCACCACCCCTCCCCACACACGCTTTGTGCTCAACTGCCCAGACTTACACCGCTGGGCAGAGTTAAATAGCAGCTACTTTTTTGTTTTTTGTCAGTCCTCACCAGAGGATATTTTTCGATTGATTTTTTTTTTAAAGTATATTTTATTGATTTTACACAGAGAGGAATTGAGAGGGACAGAGAGTTAGAAACGTCGATGAGAGAGAGACATCGACCAGCTGCCTCTTGCACACCCCCCACTGGGGATGTGCCCGCAACCAAGGTACATGCCCTTGACCGGAATCGAACCCGGGACCTTTCAGTCCGCAGGCCGACGCTCTATCCACTGAGCCAAACCGGTCCCGGCTGATTTTTAGGTTGGAAGAGAGACAAGGAGAGACAGAGAGAAACATTGATGTGAGAGAGACACATGACTGGTTGCCTTTCAAGACACATGATTTGATCTCTGGACAGAACCCTGACCAGGGATCAAGCCTTCAACCGAAGTATTTGCCCTTGACTGGAATCGAACCCGGGGTCCTTCAAGCTGCGGGCCAAGGGTCTATCTACTGAGCAAAACCAGCTGGGGCTATAGCAGCTGCTTTTCATTTGTTTCTCCATCTCCATTTATCCCCTCTCTGTCCTCTTCCTCCTCCAGTTAGCAGCTGCCTTTTAGCAGGTAACACAGGTGGTATCCGCACCTTCTCACATCGTGAAATCCTCCCGCAATCCCAGGGGGCAGTTAGTGTTGTTGGGGCCACTTTACAGTTTAGGAAATTGGAGCTTTGAGAGGTGAAATCTCTTGTTCTGAGTCTCCTGGCCAGGAAGTGGCAAAACTCTAAGGGATCCTGGGAAGCTGGGCTGGAGGGCTCAGAGAGGATTGGGGACGGGGAAAAGCCCCAGGTGAGTGGGGCTGGCTCATGGCCGTGGGTGCTGCAGTCTCCTCTCACCAGGACGCCTCCTTCCTGTACACGGAGCCCCTGGGCCGGGTGTTGGGCCTGTGGATGGCGCTGGAGGACGCCACGCTGGAGAACGGCTGCCTGTGGTTCATCCCCGGCTCGCACACCGGTGAGGACACCTGTCTCCCCGCCAACTCACACCCCACCTACCCGTCTCCCCGCCAACTCACACCCCACCGCCCCCGTCTCCCCACCAACTCACACCCCACCCTTCCCCGTCTCCCCGCCAACTCACACCCCACCGTCCCCCTCTCCCCGCCAACTCACACCCCACCCTTCCCCGTCTCCCCGCCAACTCACACCCCACCTGCCCCGAGAGGGCCCTGGGAAAGAAAGAACAAAGGTTCCACCTTGATCTGCAGGTGGAGTGGCGAGAAGGATGGTCCGGGCCCCTGCTGGCTCGGTGCCTGGCACCAGCTTCCTGGGGTCGGAGCCAGCCCGGGATAACAGCCTCTTTGTGCCTACGCCAGTGCGCAGAGGTAGGCAGGGCGCAGAGGGCGGGAAGGCAGGGCCTGTGGCCTTGCCCGTGGGTCTCTGCTGGCCCTGAGCCCCCACTCACCGGAGTGCTGTGTGGTCACCGAATGCGAGTCACTGGACCCCGGGAAACCGGGAGGCAGTGAATTAACACCAAGCCCCTGGTCAGACTAGACTCCGGATTTCGCTATTTCTGGGCGCTTTGGGCAAATGACTGAATCTCCCCGAGCCCGTTTGTCCAGATGGGAAGTGGGGAAGCTGGTGAGATGTGCCTAAGGTGTCACACAGAACCTGTGTGGCGCACAGCAAGTGCCCCCCGATGCCAGCTCCTAGCGCCCCTCTCCCTTTTGGAAAAGGGAAAACTGAGGTCCAACTCAGCCCTCACTGGCCAGAGCCCAGCTGACCAGCCCAGCTCCGCCTGGTCCTGCAAACACCACGGAAGGATGCTCTTGCGAAAGCTGGCCAGGGGCACAGGCCCCCAGAAGGGCCCGGATCCCGGGGACCCATGTCCCACAGCACAGCCTGATCCGGGCAGGCTGCAGGCCCTCGTGATGGGAATGGATGGGGAGGTGAACAGGCCACAAACTGCTGGAGCCTGGCAGGGCCCGTGTCCCTTCCTGACCTGCTGCGTCCCTGCCAGGGGCCCTTGTCCTGATCCACGGAGAAGTGGTGCACAAGAGCGAGCTGAACCTCTCTGACCGCTCGCGCCAGGCCTACACTCTCCACCTCATGGAGGCCTCTGGCACCACCTGGAGCCCCGAGAACTGGTAGGTGGTAGGTGTGCCCCGTCCCCTAAAGAGGCCTGGAGGCCGGGGGCAGGGGGGGGAGCGGTAATACTGACATCTCAGGTCATCTCCTGTCTCCTGCAGGCTCCAGCCGACAGCTGAGCTGCCCTTCCCCGCACTGTACACCTAAAGGCTCCGCAGGCCTGGGCACGGCCCCTCCGGGGAAGCTGTGGCCGCAGACACCAGCACCTGTCGACCGTCCAGCTGCAGCGGGAAGTCACCTCTCTGCTCCTGAGCTTTCCTTCTGCCAGTGTCTGTGCCCCTTGGCCCTGCAGACAGGCGGGCAAGGACAGGGGGCGGCTGGGCAGCGGGAACCCTCCCCGCTGCCCCAACACAAGCTCCCTCTGGAGGCGGCTCTCGGCTACAAAAGGGTTCTGGCCACTCCTCCGCCAGCTTCTTCCTCTTCTCGCCCCTCAGACAGAACGTTATTACAGCGCAAGGCACCGAATAAAAATGAAATGACTTCCGAATGCAGCTTCCCGATCCTTCTTTGCCGAGCAGACACGTTGCCAGAATGAAGGCCCTGCCGAAAGCCATCCCACGTATCCCAGCCTGCCTGGTAGGACTGTCATTTTCCTAACAAGTCACCTTTAGTGGGCACTCACTCCCTGAGCTGAGCTTCACTTGCGTCCCACGGGGTCCTCACCCCGATGGACCACCACGTTCGCAGGATAAGGGAGCTGTGCAGGTCACACAGCTGTGGAGATGTTCAGGAGCTCGGCCTGTGCGCCTCCCCTTGCGGAGGGAGAAGACTATCTATCAGGGCTGGGAACCTAGTCCCGATTCTGGTCCCGGCTCTGAGCCCAAGTACCTTCCTAACCTCAGGCCACGCCCTTCCTCTCTCTGGCCCTGACAGGGGGCCTCCATGGGTCCCTCCTGCCTGGGACCGGCTGGCAGACCTTTTGTAGGAACATCTACCAAATCCAGACCCTGTTTAGCTGGGGTCTCCCCCGGAGACTGCAAACCAGGGGCTATTAGCTGACTGCAGAGCAGACATGTTTTGTCAGGGCCTTGGCATTTTTATTATTTAAAAAATATTTTTATTTCAGAGAGGAAGGGAGAGGGGGAGATAGAAACATCAGTGATGACAGGGACTCATTGATCGGCTGCCTCCTGCATGCCCCCTACTGGGGATTGAGCCTGAAACCCGGGCATGTGCCCTTGACTGGATTCAAACCTGGGACCCGTCAGTCCCCTGGCTGATGCTCTATCCACTGAGCCAGACCAGGTAGGGCACCTTGATATTTTCATAAAAATTTCTTAAAATTGAGCGATTTCACAAAACAAGATTTCTAGACTTCCTTGAAAGAACAGGTCAACAGCACTGGGCCAGTGGGCTGCCATGCTGACAACTTCCCGTCCTCGGTCACTGCATTCCTGCTGGCCTGGGCGGCCGTGGGAGTGTGTGCCCTTGTTTCCAGCCCCAACTGTGTGCACGGACACATGGCACAAAGGACAGACGCCTTTCCCGAGACCACAGGAGGCGAGTCAAAACCGCTGCTCTTCCCCGACATTCTGCCACCTCCTGTGGCCAGCAGAAGGGAGTCAGAGAAGGGGAGGGTTTGTCAAGTCTTTGAGATCCAAAAGAATGTCTCAATTCTTTTCGGAGGGAAAGGACATGGCGGCAATCCCACGAGCTCCCCGGACCGCCCCTCCTGGCGTCTGGCCTTAGTGGGCCCAAGTTCTCAGCCCTCCCTGTGGCCCTCCCGCAGGCTGGGTGGAAGTGGGAAGTTGCTCCCTTCCCCCCAGCCCTCCCTCACATGCAGCAAGCTCTTCCCAGCCGCCCCCGCGGAGAAACCGCGTGCCTTTGGCTCTTTTCCCGGGGTTCGTCTCCAAATGAAGCCAAGGTTACTCTGGCCTCCGAGTATAACCCACAGGAGGACAGCCACTGGCTGGCGGGGAGGACTGGCCTTGGGTATCGGTGCACTTTCCCTTACTGACTGCTATGGAGTGTGGGCCCCGGGCTGGATCAGTACACACCGCACCTCATCAGGTCCTCACAGCCCTCTGAGGCGCAGGCTTACTCCCCTTGCAGAGAACTGAGGCCCAGAATGGGGAAGCCAGTCACACAGTTAAGAAGTGGTACAGTTTGGCTCAGTGGATAGATCGTCGGCCTGCAGACTGAAGGGTCCCAGGTTTGATTCCTGATCAGGGCACGTGCCTGGGTTTCGGGCTCAAAACCCAATAGGGGGTGTGCTGGAGGCAGCTGATCAATGGTTCTCCCTCATCAATGTTTCTATCTCTCTCTCTCCCTTCCTCTCTGAAATCAATAAAAAAAAAAAAAAAAATTTAAAAAGAAGTGGCATAGCCAAGGATTGACACAGAGCCTGAAGTGTTAACCATTATGCAATATGGCCTCCAGTGTCCACTCTGGCCCCCTCTGAGGATTGCAAGATGAGAGGCAGGGCCCCATAGCGTATGCAAGTTGAATTGTTGCACCATCTTTTAAGCCCTTTTTTTTTAAAAAAATAAAAAAATATAATTCGATTTCAAGAGGGAGAGGCAGAGGGATAGAAACATCAATGATGAGAGAGAACCATTGATCAGCTGCCTCCTGCACAACCCCCCACTGGGGATCAAGTCCACAACCTGGGCAAGTGCCCTGACCGGGATTCAAACTCCTGGTACCTAAGTCGACACTCAACCACTGAACCACACCAGCCGGGCGGTCTTTTTACTTTTGAATATCAATAAAACTTAAAACCAGGAGAGCTTTAATTTTTATTTTGAATCTGAATCAACTGAAAAATCAAACCTGCTTCTCACCACTTGCCTCTTTATGTCCAAGTGGCTGGCTGTTGTGGGGACCGTCGTTCTCTCCACGTCCCCGTTTCCGTCACTGCTGCTGCACAAGAGCTAGGCCATCAGCAATATCAGAAGATAGAGGGGCAAAAGGAGGTTGTCTATCTGCGTAGTGTATGCTTCCAGAAGGGACACTGTGCTGATGGACCCCAATATCCAAGCATAACTCTGGTTTATGTCCACTTCGTTGTCAAAGATTAAGATGAGAGCTACAGAAATGATCTGGGCAAAGATAGATGTCATGGTCCCTTCGAACGTCTTTTTGGTTCCGGGCCAGCGGATTTCCCCCATGGTGCTGCCAAAGATGGAGGCCACGGTGTCACCCACGCCCACAGCCAGGACACCGGCGTAGGGGACTAGGGCTCTTGCTCCCCCCAGGCTACCCATCTCTGTACAGGGTCTGGGGATCAGCCAAATGGGAAGAGACATGCCCAGGAGTAGGTAGATGTGTGTCAGGATGAGCGGTCCGCTGTCTCGTTCGTCCAGGAAGAGGGAGAGGAGGCTGCGCAGAGTGTGGCCCAGGGGCCTGATGCGGAAATAGCGCACATACTCTAAAAAGATGAAGACTGCCAGACATACAGTGGCGGCCATGTAGAGCAGGTATTGGTCAAAGATGATCCCTGGGATGTAGGTGGCCACCACAATGAAGTGGAAATATTTCCGGGTAATGGTGGGGGCCTGGTGCTTCTTGGATTCAGAGGATGACCGCTTGGCATTCTGGTACAGTACCACCAGGCAGGCAAAGGTGGCCAGCAAAGACCAGTAGGCTAGGAGGTAGATGCGGATTTTCGTCCGGAAGAGGAATTGTAAAAGCCATAACAAGGGGTTCCTACGGGTGAGCCGATAAAGCCAGGGTAGGGCCACGCCAAGGACCAGCACACAGGTCATCAGGTGGAAGAAGATGGAGGAGGCCCAGGTACCTGGGTCCATGAAGGCAAAGAAGGAGCTGAAGATGAGGCCCATGAGGACCATCCCTACCACCACCACCAGCAGGAAGTAGTCCACGGGCTCTCCCTGGCTCTCCACCACCGTGAGGGAGCGCTTGATGAGCTGGTTGAGCAAGAAGCTGATGCCTCCCAACACCAGCAGCGCCTCCCCCGGGGTGAAGCAGCGGGGCAGCAGGTACAGCAGGATCATGTTGAGGTAGACGAAGATCAGCAGGACCTCCAGGACCTCGATGACCTCGCCCACCTTCAGCGAGTGCTTCATGATATACGTGATGACGCACCCAGCCAAGCCTGAGATGACGCAAGTGTTGGTGGGCAGGGGGCGAGTGATGCCCAGCGCTAACACTGATGAGAAGAAGGACACTGCCATGCCGGTGGCTGCCACCACAATGCCAAAGCGCTCGAAGTACGGGTTCCCCGCGGCCTCGCAGCGCTCCTTCATGACCAGTCCGAGCAGAGGCATGACCATGGAGGCGGGCAGCAGACCGCTGTTCGCGGACATTCGGAACTGGAAGACGGCGCTTCCCTGCTGTAGCAGCCGGTCCCACTTGTACTGGACGTAGAAGGCCTGCACCGCCAGGGCCACGGCGCACCACGAGTACCGGTCCATCACCACGGCGTGAATGCTCAGCACCACGGCGAACACCACGGCCGCCTCGGCAAGCACCGACCCGCTCAGCGGGGCGCCGGTCTCGGGGGCCCCGGGCGCGCGATGCCGGGTCATGTCTCTAGGCCGGGGACCCGGACAAAACGGGGTAACCGGGGACGCCTTGGACTTTGAGCCCCGCAAGCCCTCCCAGGCAGAGCCGCAGCCTCACGCGGCCGGCACCTTCTCTCCTCGCTCTCCAGCGGAGAGGACGCAAGTTCCACGGTCGGGCACCCTCTGACGCCTGGCAGCTGGTGCCCGGTCACCCTCCACCACCTCCCACCTACTGCGCAGAAGTTGCCTCTCCGCCGCCTTCATCACAGCCTGCGCTGCCGCAGCCGCGGGATCTCAACCTCTCTCGGAGGCCGCCATATTGGCTCCGCCCCGCCGTCACGTGACGCAAAAGCCCCGCCCACGCGCCCGTGTGGAGGCGAGCGGTCACGTGGGCGCGGCGCTCGGGGGCGGGGCGGGCGCGCGCGCGGGCGCCGAAGATGGCGGCTGCCGCCGGCGAGCTGTGTGTGAGGTGCGGAGCGGGCCGAGGCGGCCGGGGCGGCCGTGAGGCGTGGGCTCGAGGCCGAGTGGAAACGGGGCGGGAGCAGGGAGCGACATGTGGCGGCGGGAGCGGGGCGAAGCCCGGCCTGGTGAGCGGGCGCCAAGACGGGAGGCGGTTACGTCCAAACGGTCCCCTCGCGTGGGGATCCGAGGCGACTTCTCCGAGAAGGGGGCCGGTGCCTCAGCCCTTCTCCCGGCGCCGGCCTCCGGTCTCCTCACCCAGTTTCCTCCCCTTCCTTCCCTCTCCCCAAGGGCGCGCCCTCGGCCCCCACTGCCTCCTGCCGCGCTTCCTCGTCTGGCGTGACGCCCCTTCGGGGCGCGACGGGGCGCTTCGCGGTCGCCCGGGGGAGCCCCGTTCGCTCCCCGGGGCTTCGTGTGGCGCCGCGCCGCCGCCGCCGCCCCTGCCCTCTCCCCGCGCAGCCTTTCATTCATCCATCCGTTCACGTTCTCGGGCGGCGGCTCCGTCACCGACCCGCCCGGCTCCCGCACGAGGTGCCAGGCGCCGCCCTGGGCTCGGGGACCAGGAGGTGAAATAGTGAAAGGAAAGCGCTCTGCCTGGCGCAGACCCCGGGAGGCGTCCCGGGCCGAGCCCGCCCCGCCCCGCTCCGCTCCGGAGGCGCTCATGGCCGCTGACTCACCGCCCGGCCCGGACGGCGAGGGGGAGCCGCGGGGGTTCTCCGTCTCCGTCTCCGTCTCCGCGGCGCGGCGGGAAGGCTCCGCGCTGCTGCCGCCCTCGGAGCGCCCATCCCCGGCGGCCCCGGCCCTGCTGCCTCCCTGCCCGCCGTGGCCCGGGTCCCCGAGGAGCAGGTGGCCGGCGCTCGGCACATACTGCAGGCGGACCCACTCCCTCCCCTGCCGGCTGCGGGGCCTGCTTCGGGGCTTGTGAGGACCAGCTTGCTTTTCCTCCTCTGCTGCTTCCTGTCAGCTCTGAGCCACAGGCGGCGGGGTGGTCCCTGCGTCCTCCTCTTCGTCATCGTGGTGGAGCCTGGGTGCAGGTTAGCTCCTGCAGGGGGAGGCGAGGCGTCTTCTTAAATGAAAGCGAACAAGGGAAGAGAAGCGTGAGAAAATGCTTTGATCGTCCTGGGAACCCTCCCAACTCATACCTGAAGACGGAAGAAGTGACCTAAGGGCTTGACGCTCAGCTCAGAGCCTGTGTCAGGAGAACATCCTCCGTCCTCAATGATAAAAGCCTAATATATTAGCCAAGTTGTCGCGGCCACAGCTGTTCAATCAGAGTGCTTATGCTGCTAATAGGCTAAGGCCCCTCAACTGCTCGCTATGACGGGCACTGGCCGCCAGGGGGCAGACGCTCCCACCCGTAGGTTAGTTTGCTGCTGGGGTCCCAGCAGATCAGGACGCGGGAGACGGGCCAGACACGCCCTGGGACTCTCCCACGGTGTCTGTCTCCGCGCCCCTCGCCCCTCCAACCTCCAGCGTTTCTCTCAGCCGATCGTGCACTGGTGGGGTCCCTCAGCCTGGCCTGCGCCCTCGCAATCCAAGACCCCTCCGGGGACGTTGGAGAGCCGGTTTCCGCCTATCCTGCAGGCCAGGCTGAGGAACCCCACTGGTGCACGAATCCGTGCAGCTTCCTTCTGTTGAAATGCCTAAAGATCTGGACCGAGAACACTTTAATTTTCAATTCCTGGTGCCTGCTGATATGCAAGTAACTTCAAACAGGCCACCTTGCGAACCTGGTTTGTTTCTCCAGATGTGAATCCTTTTTAGAACAGTTCTGAGGTGGCTCTGAAGCATGTAGGAAAGCCATGTGAGTTGGCAGTAGTTAAACATGGAATACTCTTAGATCAGTCAGGCTTTGAGAAGGTCAGTCAGGGTTTGGCAGAAACTCTGTTTGAATATTGGCATTTTGGGGTGTCGTGTTTTTCAGTTAATATGTTTCTAGGTGTTGGATTGGTGTACCTGTACTAAAAAAAATGGTGGTGTGAGAAGCTTTCTGCTATGCTTAAATTGTGCAGGAGAGCTGAGCCTCATCTGTGGAGTGAGAGTACCACTTTCTTTTTTGTTGTTAATCCTCACCGGAGGGTGGATGCATTTTTATTTTTTAGAGAGTAGAAGGGAGTGGGGGGGCATTGCTTGGTTGCCCCCTGCATGCACCCCGACTGCCCCGATCAGGGCTGGGGATCGAACCTGCATGACAGGTACATACCCTTGACCAGGAATTGAACCCTGTACCCTTTGGTGCCCGGACCAATGCTCTAACCACTGAGAAATGCAGGCCAAGGCAAGCAGTGACCACTTTTGTTTATTATCTTCATGTGGAATATAACTTTCTCAAAAGGACTACTCAGAGTAGGTTGGCTGTGTCTCAGCTTTCTACCTAAAGGATGCAGTTGTAGAGACTATTATTCCTAGCCTCCCAGTGTTCACCCAACATTTTCCAGTGACATGGATCTCTCTAAGGAAGATAATTTCCAGTTTCCAGTTCATTTAGGAATGGAGTTCCATGTTGCCTGCCAGAACAGTGGCCTGGAAGTCAATAAAATTTAACTTTACCCTTCAGGCTACTTATTTGATTTCTGTTCCTTAGTTTCTCCTACAAATACTTACTGCAAGTATATTTTGTATAAATAAACGAGTCATGATAGTATATATTTTGTTGTGAAAAAATATATTGAAGATGCTTCCCTGAGTCTTTGGCTTGGACGTCACAGTTCAAGCCGTGTCTTGTGTCCTGAGAATCACCTGCTTAAACCTTCAAGTCCCTATTTGAGGTGAAGTCATTCATTAGTCCTTGGGTCAGTTCTCAGTGATCTTTCTCTTTTCTGACCCTCTTTTTGTCTTAGAAGATTATATTACTTTGGAGTGTTTGTTAGGATTAAGCTCTTCATTACTTTCTACTTTTTTGCTGATGTATGTGTAATGTGTGCTTCACATCCTTTGTCAATCCCAATACCAGTGTATTAGCATCATGAAGTTCTAGATTTATTTGGATTCCCATTATTCCTAGACCAGTAAATGTGTAGGAACTGAGGAACCAGTAACATTCATTTCCACAAGGATTCCCTTCCTGTTAAATTACTGTTTTCTCTTTTATTCTGTCTTCTCTTGGCACTTCTGAAGACTTTTTCCCCCCTAATTTTTCTCTTCCAATTAGATTTCAGGTCTAAAAGGGACTTACCCTCCTCCTGTGGTAGTCATTCATCGGCATGTAATTTTGAGCCTCTCCTGTGTGCCAGCCACTGTATTATGGGTATGGTGTGCCCTTCTAGAGCAGAAAGCTTCACCTCAGTCTTTGCTTGTAGGATGAATTCTTTGGTGCACCTTGAAGCAGTGTAATGTAAGGATTAAACTCTGCATTTGTGCAAACGTGGGTCCCAACTCTGGCTGCATTATATATTGGCTTTGTGATGTTAGGCAACTTACTTAACCACCCTTAAACCGTAGTTTTCAGATGAAATACTGGGGATAATAACAGTGTCTGCCTCATAAGTTGTTCATAATCAACAAGTCAAGGTGTTCGGTGCCTGGCAATTACAACTGCTTAATGTTGATTCTCGTTATGATCAAATACTAATTTTTAAAAAAAATATTCGTATTGATTTCAGAGAGGAAGGGAGAGGGAGAGAGAGATAGAGACATCAATGATGTTAGAGAATCATTGATTGGCTGCGTCTTGTACCCCCCTACTGGGGATCGAGCCTGAAACCAGGGCATGTGCCCTTGACCAGAATCCAACCTGGGACACTTCAGTCTGCAGGCTGACGCTCTGTCCACCGAGCCAAACCAAGTAGGGCTATATTTTAGTTTTTTAATTTTAATTTTGAACATCAAACTTCTAAGAATACAATATGGTTACTGTCCAAAATTTTAACATTGTTTTTGTACATTGAGCTTTTTGCTTTAGAGAATAGATAAAATAGCTGTGAGATAGTTAGTCCAGTCTGCTTTCTGTCATTTTCCAGGAGCAGTAGAGAACTGTGGACAATTCTGCTTGGAAGGTCAGCTCTGAGAGAACTGGTAAGTGGTGGTGGTTTTGAGTGGCTTCTATGGATCTTTGTGCAGTTTGTATTGTTTTTTTGTTTGTTTGTTTTTTTTAAGTGTCTTCTCTCTGAAGTAGGAAGTAAACACATTTTTTAAATTCTAAAACTTTATATATTTCTTTTCTCTGCTGAAATGTAGTGTGTCTTATAGTCTCGCTGCTAAAAGTTCTAAATCTCTGCTTTTCTTGTTCCTTAGTGATTTCTTTTCTGAAAAGAGAACAGTGCTGCTTGATTGGCTACTGAGGGTCATGGTACAAATACTATTCTGCTACCTCAGGCTAAAAAGATTCTCAGGCCTTTTCTATCCCCTACTTTACTTGCCTTTTCTCCCTTTTCCATTTAGCTAGCTCCTTAGGTCAGAGAGGCTGTGGTTTCTAGGACATTTTCCAGTATATAATCTATAAAGGACAGTTCTTCATATTGATCCTCTAGTGTTCTGACTCTGTGAGTGTAAAATGTTAAGATGACACTCAATTATTACTATTATTGTTGTTATTGTAATTAATAAAAGGAATATTACACCTTTTTTAGAGCCTTAACATTTTTTTTTAAATTTATTGTTTTTTTACAGAGAGGGAGAGAGATAGAGAGCTAGAAACGTTGATGAGAGAGAAACATCGACCAGCTGCCTCTTGCACACCCCCTACTGGGGATGTGCCTGCAACCAATGTACATGCCCTTGACCGGAATCGAACCTGGGACTTTTCAGTCCGCAGACCAATGCTCTACCAATGAGCCAAACCGGTTTTGGCGAGCCTTAACATTTTTTTGATACGCCTTCATCTGATAATTCCACTTCTAGGACTGCATCATTTTTATTTTTATTTTTTGTTATCCTCACCTGAGGATATTTTTTCCATTGCTT